TATTGCATAGGTATGGGGATTTTTTTATGGGATACTTTTTTTGTACTTGAATGTTGAATCTCTATATGGTGGCACTATTGAATGATTTCAATGTATTATTAGGCTTTAATTAGGCGGTTAAAATGAAGAAGGGTTGTATTGTTTAAGTACTAGGGGAATTGTGGTATTAGGTATAGACTGTAAAAAGCTTATACTGAGAGTACATTTTTATGTAGTATTTGTATTAATTGTTGCTACATTTCTGTTCAGAGGCAACTGTGTTTCATTGTCCTTGTATGTACATTGTACAGTTGTAATAAAGTTAAATCTGGATCATCCCCACCAAGGCTCAGGTGTGTTGAGGTCTGCGGTGGAATATGTCCCAGAAGTTTCTAGAATCAGAAATAAATTGAAAGCATTGTAAAATAAATATGTGGCCAAATATGAGCCAAAAAATTACATTATTTTACCAATAAAAACAAGACGTTAAAAAATCCACAGCGCATTAGTCTTTTTCAAGTGAAATTCAGGTGTACCTGGCTTTCTGGGTTATTTTGAAATAAAACGTTAAATTACATCACAGGTCATGTGATCTTTATTGGGATCACATGACAGAGTTTACACAAGTTAATTCCCTTATTTATATAATAAAACTAGTAAAATATTTGTAAAGAACAGTTAATACAAATACAGAGGGAGGAACAAGTGTGGAGTGATATCATAAGAGAAATAGAGTCACATGATGTGGATCGGGATGGCGCGTCAAATGATTCGGCAATGAATATTTAAAAGAAGAAAAACTACCACAACAAGAGGACAGTCTTAAATTAGAGGGGCAAAGGTTTGAAAATAATATTCGGAAGTATTACTTTACTGAGAGGGTAGTGGATGCATGGAATAGCCTTTCAGCTGAAGTGGTAGAGGTTAACACAGTAAAGGAGTTTAAGCATGCGTGGGATAGGCATAAGGCTATCCTAACTATAAGATAAGGCTGGGGACTAATGAAAGTATTTAGAAAATTGGGCAGACTAGATGGGCCAAATGGTTCTTATCTGCCGTCACATTCTATGTTTCAATGAAATTTGAGAATCAAATGAGAAAGGCGAAGAAATACAAATGCGGTTGAGGAGAGCGAAAGGGCCTCACTGTGAATAGCTAGGTCTTTGGTAAAGGGAATATGGAGCGAATGTTTACTTCCTTGAATATATAGGTCACAGTCGGAAGTTGTGTGACAGTTTGTGGCAGCCATACTGGATAAGGGCTGAATATTAAAAAATCCTATAGAAAAACTGGCAAAAACTTCTTGGACTATGAAGTTAAAAAAATATGTTACAAATACAAAAGAGGGGGCCTAAATAGATAAGATAATTGATAAGAGAAAATAGGACTAATGGGTTGCAGATTATAAACAATCTGCCTCCCAAAAAGACCTTGTATCTTTATGTGAAAAAAGCTACTCTGCAATTATAAATATAAAAGTGGAGCGCAGAGAGCAAAAAACGAAAAACTCTTTATTAATCCCTCTTGGGGGAGAAACACACAGATACTAAACAAACAAGTAATAAAATTAGGATCTAACTGGATAGAATCGACTAGTCCAAAAATAATAGTAATATGGTCAGAAGAAATGCTATAAGTATGTGTGTGGCAGAATTGCCATAAATAGTAGCAAATAAATATGAGCAAAAGGGGGGAGATACATTAAATGTAGCAAACTGAAGATCTCTAAATGCAAAAGTAAATAGACTCTATAATTAGAACAAAGAGTATATCAAGTGCATAAAAAATATATGTGCAAAGATCTACCAAAATACGTTTGCAACATTGCAGGAAAAGAGCCTGCAGTCTAAATAGCCAGTAATATAAATGTTAAACGAACTGCCTAAACAGCTGTAGGAGATTTGGGGGAAGGAGTCCCTAATATCATGCTGGTAATAGACTACAATCAAATCCCACCATGTATGTGGCAGAGTTGCCATAAATAGTAGCAAATAACTATGACCAAAAGGGGGGAGATACAATAAATGTAGCAAACTGAAGATCTCTAAATACAAAAGTAAATAAACTCTATAATTAGAACAAAGAGTATATCAAGTGCACAAAAAATATGTGCACAAAGATCTACCAAAATACGTTTGCAGTCTAAGTAGCCAGCAATATAAATGTTAAGCAAACTGCCTAAACAGCTGTAGGAGATTTGGGGGAAGGAGTCCCTAATATCATGCTGGTAATAGGCTAGTATCTAATCCCACCATAAATGAATGATAGGACAGTCTGAAAACAAAATAGAATCCTAATTAAAATCATCATCCGCTTTAGTAAAGTGCCCAACGCGCGTTTCGGCGAAGCAAGTCGCCTTTATCAAGAGCAATTTGCAGACTGAAGGGAGCCTCTTGTTAAATGTGTTTAAAGCTCCACCCATAAGCATGATGTAACCATTGTTGTCCAATCAGGAAATAGGGGGCGGAGAAAAGTACCAAGCTCAACAGGAGTGAAGCTAATTGTAGATTTAACCCTCACATAACCAAAATGTGAATGGAAGCTAGCACATATCTTCTATCTTCATAGAGTGAAGGCACAAAATGTAAAATGTAAATGTAGCTAAACAGAAGAGCTGGCGAAAGTAGCGTATAGATGAACATAACGCTACAGGGTAAAACAAATGGAGCCCATTTAGGGAACAATTCCCTAGTAATCATGATAAATATTGCAACACTGGCACTACATGTATGAGTATGTCACACAGTGTAGTTATAAAAAGGGTAATTTTATAACTTCAGCACTTTTTACATAAGGCAGGAACAGGGGTCCTATGCAACGAGTGTACCTTTAAATAAACATGCAAGAATCAGTCAGTATGTATGTCAGCAGCTGCACCGAACCAAAGTGAATGCAGACAGACGCTCACAAACAAGATTTCTGCCCTAAGCTCTGGCTCCATTTTCAAATGTGAAATACATTAACACTCAATAAAATGTTCTGTAGGACATTTATTCATTGATTGCATATTTTAATAAGCAGGGAAACCATTTTTTTCTTTTTAAGCGGCACTATTTGTTATATGAAATTTCATTTTATTGATTAAGTGTGTAATGGCAAGCAATTATCCATTTTTCAGGGGAAATGACAGTACATTTTATTATGTCTATATATATATATATATATATATATATATATATATATATATATATATATATATATATATTTATTTATTATATATAAAACATGACTTTAAATTATCTGTTGCTTTTCTCTAAAAAAAATATATATTATAACATAAAACGCAGGAAATATGTCCAGATTAGATTTAGTTTACTGAAGACACAAGACTTATTATTATTATTATTATTATTATTATTAACTATTTGGAATAAATCATTATTTAGTTACATGAGCAGCATTGCATTAGTGACAACATGTGACTTGGTGGGGAGTCAGATATTAAGATGTTTAGTAACAATATGGTTACAGTGCATGATAGACAAGATAATTATGGGACAGAGATAGTCCAGTATACCCACTTATTGTTAGGGTGTACACCTAGGCATTTAGATTTAATAACAGAATATTTATTGAAAAAGTCAAGCCTCAAAAGAGTAATTTCTATTCATCAGACAAGCTAAAACTATATTTTTAAGTACTGACTGATCACTTAAATAATTAAAAACGCAAAACAGACAGATATTCATGATGCAGCTATTGAAAGACTTGTCTGAAATTCCAAACTCCGAAATGCTATATCAAAGAATCACAAGTTTAATTCGCAGGAAGGCAGGGCCACACACTATGCCTTGGGATACACTGGAATCACCCCCCTCCCCCCACATTTAGAAGTACGAGGTCCCAATAAAAGGAAATATGTCTTAAAGCAGGGGTTGGTACAGGCTGAGGCACAATGACGCATGATGGCAACGAGAATATCCGGACAGAAGATGCATATGGTACGCTTAACTTACCAATGAGCCAGGAATTGTGTGAAAGGGCCCCAAGGTGTGTTTCCCAGCGATGAGATGCAGACCAGGGCACTTTAAACGGTGGAGAGGCATTGGAGTAATTAGATTGTTTAAAAGGCAGCGAGATATAGCTGTGGTACTAGGAGGAGAAAAGATCAGGCCCCCACCGAATTATTTGGGACCATGAGAGGCAGAGTTACGAAATACCGACAAAAGGGGAATAGAACCAGAAATACCGACAAAAGGGGGGAAAGAGAGCCAGTAGGTGAGGGAAATACCAACGCATTGATGGACAACCCAGAGGTCAATTCAACTAAAGAGAGGCGCGTAGGCGACGGAGCTCAGGGACCCACTGTTCTTCCCAACGTTGATCATGGCAGGGATGTGGGAACATGTTCCCCACAAAATTCTGGCAATTGGTAAGACCAGAGTTTCTTTGCATCGGACAGAGTCCAGATGCGTTTTTTTCTTTTCTCTCTTTTCTTCCTTTGTCTTTTGTCCTATTCTGGGGGGTCGCGGGGGTTGGTAGTGGTGCGGGGTTGCCCAGGAACGTAGCAGGGTGTGAGATGGAAAAGAAACAACGACAGGGTTATACGGCAGACACGAACATAACACACAATGGAGATTACATCACCTCCTTGACCGTTAAGGGTCTTAACGTCCCTAGAAAGCGCCGTCTTGTGCTTAAAGAACTGAAAAGGATTAAATCGGACATAGCATATGTCCAAGAGACCCATTTGCCAAAACAGGCCAAGTTTAGGCTGAGAGACCACACCTAAGCCGGATCATATGAAGCCAGATCCCATCGCAAACGTAATTGGGTGGCGATCCTTATTAAAAGCAGTTGTCCCTTCCAAATGACTGCTCAAGAGGCAGACCCAGAGCGTCGCTACATTATCGTTTCAGGTACCCTACACTCACATACCATTCATCTGATAAATATATACGCGCCGAACCAACCGGATCCTAGGTTTTGGAGCATGCTCCGGGAAAAACTCTCGGCGCTGCCCCACGGCATGATATTCATGGAGGCAGATTGAAGTCAAAGACTTCATAGCTGAAACGGGGATGGTGGATGTATGGCGAGCTCACCACCCGGGGGACAAAGACTATTCGTTTTACTCAGCCCCCCATGGAACGTACTCGAGGATAAACCTCTTCTTGGCTAACGCATTGGGCATGTCTCAAATAGTGGGGTCAATGGTGGGTAACATATCTTGGTCAGACCACGCAGACATGTCTATCACATTGGGCAACCTATGTGTAGCATCTCCATGGACATGGAGACTGAACATGTCTTTGCTACGGGACCCGGAGTTAAAAGAACAGATTCAGAAAGAGATAATAGAGTACTTCAACTTGAACATCACCCCGGAGGTGAACGGTGGTGAGAGGGACCCTGATCAAATTGGCCACCAGAAGGAAGAAAATGAAACATCAGAAACTGGAGACCCTACTGGGACAACTGAGAACCCTCGAACAGAAACACCAAACTGCGTCAGATGAGGGAACCTACAGGCAACTGGAAGCAATGAGAAGAGGCATCCGTACACTATTACTGGATGATACAGCTAGATCCATGGTTTGGTCAAAACGGACATACTACGAAAAGGCTAACAAAATGGACACTCTGGCTAGGACACTACGACCCAGGCAGGAACGGTCTTATGTCACAGCCATCAGACATCCTGACGGCATGACAAAATCGAAACCGGCTGAGATAGCTAGGGTGTTTTTTATAGATTTTTATAAAAGGTTGTACAACCACACAGGACATAAGTTCCCACGAGGAGCATGAAGAGGATCGTATACTTAAATACCTAGACAAACTAGGGATGACCAGACTGAACAGAAAGGCAGTAAGTAATCTGGCGGCGGATATCACCGAAGATGATGTGGACAAAGCTATCTCGAGTTTGCAAGGTAACAGAGCACTAGGACCAGATCAATTTGATGGAACATATTACAAGACCTTCAGGGGAGAAGCTCACACCTCAACTGGTGCGACTTTGATAACCCATGGTGGGGAGGACAACTGGACCATGACATGTCTCTAGCTACCATCGTGTTACTGCCCAAACCAGGAAAAGATCCACTTCAACCCGAAAATTATATGCCCATATCGCTAATTAACCATGACCTGAATATTCTAGCGAAGATACAACTGGACAGATTGAACCCGTTGTTGAAGTCGCTCATCCATGCAGACCAGGTCGGTTTTATCCAAGGCAGGCAATTGTTTTAAAATACCAGGAGGAACATAGATTTGATTTGGAAACAAGTGGCTACTGGGATGCCCACTTTAGTGGTATCCATAGATGCAGAAAAGGCCTTCGACCGGGTCCAGTGGCAATTTCTGTTCTCGGTATTGAGGAGTATGGGCTTCCCGGAAGGATATATAACGATAACGAGAGCGATGTACCATAATGTGCGGGCACAGGTACAGATAACAGGAGCCCCACTGAACCCTTTTAGGCTATACAATGGAACCAGACAGGGGTGCCCTCTTTCCCCCCTCCTCTTTGTATTGGCATTGGAGCCTTTGCTACAAGCGATACGTCGGCATCCGAACAGAGGTGTTAGAGTGGGTTACAGAGAATTTACGGTATCGGCCTACGCGGACGATGTCCTCCTGACCGTTACGAACCCGACGGAATCGATGTCAGCATTACAGGAGGTAATAACAGAATACGGTAAGGTATCAGGATACAAAGCAAATATCCAGAAGTCCAGTGCTCTTCCAGTCGGTCTCTCGGAGGCCGATACTGCTTGGATTCGGGAGACCTACCAAATCCGGATGGAAACAGACTCCCTGAAATACTTGGGGATTCATCTGACAGCAGATCCCGGACGTATATATCCTGCTAACTACGTTCCCATGATTAGAGCGTTGATAAGAGACCTAGAAAAGTGGATGGATAAACCTATCTCTTGGATAGGATGGATTAATTCTGTGAAAATGAACATCCTTCCACGCATATTATTCTTATTTCAGGCATTACCTGTCCGCGTTGCAAAAACTCAACTGATTCCTTTACAAAGATCTATAGGGGATTTTATTTGGCAGAACAAGAGGCATATAATTTCCAAACAAATACTGTATAGACGCAAAGACAGAAGGGTTTGGGCCTCCCGAATCTATATTTCTACTATCTCGCGGCACAATTAACGCAGGTGGCCATGTGGCACTCCCCGCCGGAAGAGAGAAGGTGGGTGGAAAGAGAGTCTATGATGGTGGGGTTGGATGTTCCCCAGTTCATGATGTGGGTCCCCAAGGAACATAGACCTGTAATACGTGTGACTTGTCCAGCCATACTCAACTCGATCCAAATATGGGATGCATGTAATACCAAATATGGGCTGGCATCATCCCCCTCCCCTCTGACTCCAATACTTAGAAAACGAGAGTTTCTGCCCGGAATGGCCCCCATTGACTTCCAAAATATAGAAAAAAACATACTACAATGACTCCACTAGTTATATCAAAATGGAGAGGTCATCCAATTTGCAGATCTCCAACAAGGCAATCACTTAACCCCGTGTGTTTTTTTAGATATGTTCAGATCCGTGACTTCGCAAGAAGACCACACCTTAAAACAGCAGCCCTGGGAAGGCTAACCTTCTATGAGAGGCTTTGCCTGTTGGGGCGGCCCCCAAGGGTATGATCATGCTTTTATATGCCCACCTCAGTGCAGAAAATGGAGAATGGGGAAGACTGACATATACAGATCAATGGGAGTCGGACCTAGGGGAGGTTTTGGAGGCAGTTGAGTGGCAGGAGATATGGGAGGCGAATGCCACCGTTTCAATAGGTGTCACTCTGCAGGAGCAAACGTGGAAAACCATGCTTAGATGGTACACCACGCCGGTAAAGCTATATAAAATGCATAAAATGGACAATGATGACTGTTGGAGGGGTTGCGGAGCCCGTGGAACATACATCCACATGTGGTGGGAAAGATATGTAGCTTCTGGAGGACCATGGAGGATCTGCTGAAACAGACGTTTGACCGGCCCCTGGGCATGGACCCGTGGATCTACCTGTTAAATAGATCACTGGACGGATGGACTAGGAGAGAACAGAAATTAGTACATAAAATAACTCTGAGCGCACGCTGAGCAATAGCGACCGCATGGCTCTCACCAGAGGGCCCAGAATTCCTGGGGGTAATATCTAGGATCAGAGAATGTAGAATTATGGACGACCTGACAGTGAGAGTAAGAGGGACGATAGCGGCATTCCAAAAAATTTGGGAACCATGAGACAACAGTTTAGTGGGTTCGAGCGGAGACTGACAGGGCCTGGTTTTTGGATGTCAGACCCGAATTAGTAATAAAAGACCCCTCCTCACGGGGGACATAATTATTGCGCTACCATTGGGGGGGCCTCTGCCATCCCCCTTACCCCCCCCCCTTTGCTCACCCTTTCCTGACTCTATATCTTCTTTCATTTCTTTTTTTTAGAATTTCATACTTTTCCTGTCTCATCTTGTTTTTTGGTCCTTCCCTGGTTTTTCTCGGGAATGAGACCTTTTTTCTTTTTCCAGGCATGATCACACTGTCAGAGGAACAAGGAAGCTCATGAGTTAGATTAGTTATTGAATAGCATGGGCTACTCATATCGCCTAAATGCCTGTCCTTATGAAAATATAAAAACCCTCAGTTGACGGCAGGTGCCAATGGTTTTTAAGGAATGGGCATGTATTGTATTTGTTGAACTGTGAAAGCCCAAAAGTTAATGTACACTTGCTATGTCTATTGAGTGAAAAATAAATAATAATAAAAAAAAAAAAAATATATATATATATATGTAAAAAAAAGAGAAAGAGAAAAGGTGGCGCTAAAATCTAGTAAAATATCAGAAATTTGACTGTGTTTAGTCACTAAATGTTTAGTCACTAAATAACACAAACACAAAGGTTATAACTGGAGATAAGGTGATTGCGCACACATTGGTAAATGGTTTTCTTCTTTTTAGTGTACAATCTCAAGGTTCTGTAAATATAAAAAACAACATAGGGCAATATGTATCAACACAGTATGTACAATAAAATCTTGGAACACTCACAATATTTAGAGCCTTTATGAGTTGGCACTAGACTGTAAAAGCAGGTACATCAATCAGATGTAGATATGGAGATATATATTCAGGTCCCCAAGAAGGTGTTGAAATTCCTCTGTGAAGTAAATCAGGAACCAGGAAGATAAAAAGGTAAAATAATTTTATTGGGCGACATAAAATTAAAGAGTACAACACGTTTCAACCTATAGCAGGTCTTCCTCAGGTGCAGGTATCTCATGAAGTGAGCATATATTGCTTTATATATCATGCAAATAATGACAAAACAATTACACATGTGAAAAAAGGGGCTTGGCATTCCCTCCCACTTCCGGTCCGGACCCTTTTTGGAAGTTGGAGGGATTCCTGATTTACGTCAGAGAGCACCACCCAAGTACAGGTTTTATAGTGTTTTGGGAATTTGCAGGGTCAAATTTAGCACATTACATTTTTAAGTTTATACACATTGAAATTTGCCAGACTGGTTATGTTGCTTTTGAGACTGTATGGTAGCCCAGGAATGAAAATTCCCCCCTTAATGGCATATCATTTGCAAAAGTAGACAACCCAAGGTATTACAAATGGGGTATGTCCAATCGTCTTTAGTAGCCACTTAGTCACAAACACTGGCCAAAGTTAGCATTCTAATTTGTATGTGTGTGAAAATGCAAAAAACAGATTTGAACGCTAATTTTGGCCAGTGTTTGTGACTAAGTGGCTACTAAAAAAGACTGAGCATATCCCATTTGCAATAACTTGGGTTGTCTACTTTTGCAAATGGTATGCCATCATGGTAGTAATTCTCATTCCTGGGCTACCATACGGTCTCAGAGGCAACATAACAAATCTGGCGAATTTTAATGTGAAAAAATGGAAATTATATTACACTCTAACTTTTGAAAACACCATAAATCCTGTACATGGGGGGTACTGTTATATTCAAGAGACTTCGCTGGACATAAATATTAGTGTTTCCAAATATTGAACAATTATATTGTCATTGAAAGTGCCATTTGTGTGTGAAAACTGCTAAAAACTGGACTTTCACAGACAATATCATTGTTGTGATATGTTTTACGGTTTTGAAACACTAATATTTGTGTTCAGTGAAGTCTCCAGAGTAAAACAGTAGCCCCTATGTACAGGTTTTATGGTGTCTTGGAATTTAAAAGGTTAAATTTAGGGCTTGCAAACCATATTCTCTGGGCTTTTTTCCTGGGTTGTCAGGCAAGTCCCTCAAATTGTAATTAATGAAATGACTTAATCATGTAAAAAAAAAAAAAAAAAATTATATATATATCCAAAAGTACAAGATAGCACTCCAGGGACTTCCAAGTTCAACTTGGAAGTCCCTGGAGTGCTATCTTGTACTTTTGGCTGTATCTGTTTGCTGATAAGCACCGGGCAAGTACATCAAGGAAGGTGGAGTGCATTACTATTTTTGTTATATATATATATATATATATACATACATACACACACACACACACACACACACACACACACACATACATATACACACACACACACACACACAGATACTGTTGCACTCACTGCGTATTCTAATATTAGCCTGGTGCTGATCAGCAAAAAACATAGAAAGGTAAAAGTAGATAGCACTCCTTGGTCTTTCTTGTAAGTAAAAAATAGCTTTTATTGCTCCAAGTTAAAAGGACCTTTTAACTTGGAGCAATAAAAGCTATTTTTACTTACAAGAAAGACCAAGGAGTGATATATATATGTATTTTTTTTTATAACGTTATTCTAAATGCATTTTGATTTAAATATATATGTATATAAATATCAAAATACAGTTAGAGCAAAAGTATACAGGTTTATAATTTTTTATAAATTTAATTGTATCTTTTTAATTTTCTTATTGATATATATATATATATATATATATATATATATTATTAAAATACACTTAGAATAATAGTTTGGGTGTGTATGTGCATATAAAAGTACTTAGCTCATATACATAAGATCTAAGTACTTTAATTTACTTTATTAAACTTTCTTTTTTTTTTTTTTTTATATTTTCCTTACTTCTAAATCTTTTTTTACAGGCAGCAGGGGGACTGCCTGAGAGCTCAGGCAGTACCCCTGCTGGCACTGCATGAGCCGGCTATTCCGGCCATGTGATCGCAAGGACCCCGCGATCACATGGCTCTGGAGGGCCGGATCATGCAGAAGGGGGCTGCCTGGGATCCCAGGCAGCCTCCAGAATCGCGACAAACGACATGGGATCAGCGGATACCCGGTAAGTCCCCTGGACTGCGTGGACGTTCTATGCCGCCCTCTGGTTTTTAGGACCGCCCAAAAAAGGACAGCAAATAACGCCCGCTGTCTTTAAGGGGTTAATGATATTTTCAAGACGCTTCTTGCATGATTCTCCTGTGGGCAATGTAACCCAACCCCCTAATGCTATTAGCCAATGATAGCCCCTGACTAAAGAGGCCAATAGCATGCCTCCACTCATGGTCAGCTGGCTTTGCTGTCCGAATGGCAACACAATGGAAATTCCTGAAATTCATTCTTAAAGGACAATAGGCATGTGCAAAACTGGCTGAAACAGGCCAGATTTCACACCAGCCCCATTTTCTGACATGTCTAGATGATCTCAAGTAAGCTTCTCCAAACAGCTACCAACAGAATTAAAGATACTCCTTTTTTCCTCCATATTATTTTGGCTTACCCTCCACTCCAGAAAAAGAAGTGCTTTCACAAAGGCAGTAGCTAAAGAAGCTGGAATCTCTCTCCCAAGTGTTGATACCTGCTTGGGAGAGGAGCTGTAGAGGCAGAGGGGACGATACCTGCCTGGAAGGAGGGAGCAGTAGCCTGGTCCAGGGAGGAAGAGACCCAAGGCAAGCTTCCGCGACTGAGTCTTGTCTTTATCAGTGTGATTGTGTGTACTTATGCTTAACAGAATGTTTGTTTAGCATTGTGTGTGTATCTGGCACTGTGTCTGGAATTTGTGTGTGTGTCTTTTTGTGTGAGTTTGTATCTCTCTTCCAACAAAATGCTGGAAAATCTTGGTGAGTGTGTGTGTGTGTATATATATCTCTCTCCGATGGTGGCCAAAGCAGTGAGGTCAATAACATACTCACACTGCACTTTGGGAGCTCTTTTTCATTAAGCCCCAAAACTGGGACATCAGAGAAAAAAAAAAAAAAAAAAACCCAGGAAGGTGCAGCACATGTCTCAAACCAGAACTGCATACCTGTCTCCACAGCGGACAGGTATGTCTTCTTCCAGAGAATCGTATAGTAATATTTAAATATTCACATTCCACTATATACATTTTACAAATATGTAAGGCCCTGTCTTACTGAACAGTCACAGTATGTGCCAGCACCATCAACATCCCAGCAGCTTGAAAATTCAGGGAGGCGATAGCGACCTTAAAAATACAGCAACCGCACTCCAGACTTCATGATCGCTTTCCAAGCAACTATTAATAAAGTGTAACTGCTGCCGCCTGACATGAATATACTTGTCATACTTAGGAGGACTTAATTGTACGTGGGGGCAATTAATTGCACTCATAACGATTCACACGTCTCCCTCCTGGTGAAAAGAGATTCTGATTATCTGAAATTTGTGCATGGCAGAGTAGAAGTGTATGTAACAGTTGGCATTCTTGACAGCTGTCACCAGTTTTACATGTAAACGAAAGAAAACTGTCTGAGACATCCTTTTTTCCGTGGCAATGAAACGCCTTAAGCCAAGAAAATAAAATACACTTAAAGACATAGGAAAGCATACAAACCAAGCTTCCTACGTACACAAAAACTAATCCCGTTTGTCTAGCAGTGTTATTTACTAAAGAGAGAATTGTATGGATTTCAAATGGAATTTTTAAATTTAAGGCCTAATTCGCTGAACTTGAAAAATTCTCAAAGTCGGCTATGCTTGCAGTGCAGCTACTGTGGCCTGAAATTGGAAATTCACATGCTTGTAAATAACCGTGTAGGTTGTCAGGGATTACAGTCAATAATAAAGACTTGAAATGGAGACTTAAACAGCGGACTTGAAAAAAATTCTCTAACTCAGCTACATCCACATTTTGTCAGTATGGTAGCTTGACTTTTAAAATTTACATTTGCTTACATTTGATGTTTAGTGGATAAACCTGCTAGTGAGAAGCCGTCAGGGCTGGACTTGTCCACTGGGATACCGGGAAATTTTCTGTTGGGGCGGCATAATATCATCCGGTGCACGGCCACCTAGTGCGAACCAGCCCGCGGGTCGCACGGCGTAATAACACAGTAACCGGCAGGAGGGGATGCGCTGAAAGAATAAAATAAATATTACTTTATTCCATATATTTTTTTTTTTTAAATTCTTTATTTTTCGTTGTGCATGAGGTAACAAAATTCTTAAAAAGCCACAACGGCGTATGCAAGTACATTGAAAACACAAAGTTTCACGTATATGGCATGAAAGTGAAAGCACATTTTTTTTTTTTTTTTTTTTAAGAAGAACAAATAAAGTTAAACAGGCTATTTGCACACGTCTGCGAGAAGGTTCCCGCAGTGAAAGGATAAAGAGATTAATAAATTTGGAATGCTAGACGTGTTGAGTAGTATGCTTGATAGACTGGCTGTGCGTCTTGGGAGTATTACTCAGGCTAGGGCTTTATTTTATTTCACAAAGTCAGCTCAGTGGCAGTGAGTTAGGTGAGACTAATCTATGCATGAGCGGGTCGGAGACCAGTGGTTAATTATATTTAACGTGATACCGCAGTGTGCTGACTGGCATCAGTGTGAGACACTTCCCTGGTTATTGATTTGGCAGGTAGATTTAGACATATGAACAAAGTGCTGCTCATATAACATGGTTTACAACTTTACTTATAGTGTAACATCCTATCCATCAGCTCGTGTGTGTAGATGCTAGGTGAGAGAGAGCGTATGCTCTAGAAAACACGGTGTATAACATGAATAAAATAGACTTGTACCTGCTACCCTTAAGAAAGTTAAGGTGAGAGAACCTAATAAGAAAAATCTAACAATGTAGAAATGGCAGGATAGCGTCCCTCATGTGTGAGATTTGCAGGTTATCTCCTCCAAGGGTCAGGGTATGACCAGTGGACCCCTGCTTAGCCTATGCCCTCTAGGGGGCAGAGTCCCGTGACCAGGGTAAGCGCTGCTGGCTGTCCCGCGTACAACGGATCGGTGAGGTAGGCCTCTCGGTACCTCGATGAGAGTGTGCCTCCCGGTGTGATCTCGCTGCCGTTGCTGCTGTACAGCTGACATGGTCTGGACCAGAGTGGCGTTTGGACGGTAGCTCGCTGGATGATCCTTCAGGTGCTTTCCGTGCTGTCGCAGTGTCCCTGTGCTGGTGGAGAAGTAGCGAAGGTATGTCACAGTAGTGGCGCGCACCGTTGCTTGCCGTCTGGTGGCGTATTTGGCGTATGCTCAGGCTGTCTGTGGTTGATATCCTGGTGCTTTTATCCGTCTTTCTTTGCGCTTGAGTGTCGGTATTCCCGCTGGGGCTTTCTTGTTTTTTGCGGCAGGAAGGTGTTTGTTAAGGTGCTGCCAGCTTGAGACCCCAGTTGCTGGCAGGAGCTGAGGGCTTCAGGGCAGCTTGTGTGTGAAGCTACCGCTCGGCTTATACGAGGAGGGTGCCTGCAACACTTGGGTGAGTTTTCCCCAGAAGTCCTCAAAAATTCTATCAAGTGAGGTTGTTTGCAAAGCTTGGGTGCTGGTAGGTGTTGCACATATGGCGTCCGTCATATTGGTGCGGTCGTCGTGTTTCCCGCTTATGGAGGCCAGTTTGCGTTTTTGCTGGTCTCCGCTGGTTTGTGTCTTGGACCGGGATATCCCCCACCGGTCCATAGGGGGGGGTTACAGGGCTCGGTGCGGTGTTTTCCGCTGCTGTCTGGGAGAACCCCAATTTGAGGTCGGCCGCTCCCCCAGAGCTCACCAGGACGCAGTTCGATCATCCTGTTCTCTTGGGTTTTTTCCTGCTTATGGTTCGGTGTGTCCGCTTGCTTTGAGCTCTAGTACTGCTTAAAAAGGTGAGCTGCCTTTTTGACTAGTTTTCTTGTCGGGTTTGGGCAGAAATCCTCATTCCATATATTCCATATATTAAAAGACATAAGAATAAAAAAAAAATATACCGGTATATATAAGTTTAAGTCTCAGTTGAAAACCTCATATACTGTATATGTAGTTTTCAACTGATATTTATATAATTTTTTTTACTTATATGTTTTTTCCTAAAATAAGCTATAACTAACCTGGAAGCCAGGCTCTGTTCAGCACTCCCCATCTGACGTCACGGCAGCCATTTCTTAGAGAAGCCTTTGATTGGACCCTTTAACCAGCTAAGAAAAATGCCCAGGTTAAAAAAAAATAAAAATAAATAACAGAGGATATAGAGAGGTTGGAGGGAGGGAAGACAAATGCTTGCCCTTGTCGTCACTCCCTGAGAGGGAGAAGCGATTTACTTTAGTTGCCAGAGTTTGGGGCTGCTAAATTGAGGTATGCCGGAGGGGTGTAACTAGCCCCTGGCACAAAAAAGGCAAATAAAAGCATAAGTGATCATGGTGGTAGGAGTAACCCTTTAAATACAAAAGCGAGAGCTGAATTCAAATTCAAGGCCAAAGTAGAAGCACAGCGGAGAAAATGGCTACTTTGACCTGAAATTGGAACCCTGTAGGACTTCAGTGAATCCATCTGCATAGTGTATCTGCTAAAAGCATGTGTAAATTATCATCATAGCTCCCAGCTCTGCACTGTCTCCTCCTGGGCTTTCAATGTGTTTGTTTGTTTGTTTGTTTTGGTTTTCCTATTTATATAAAGTAATATTTTATTTATTTTTATAATGTAACCAATGCATGTTTAGTGCAGATGTAATGTATAAATAATTGGGGGGAAATGGTGTCAGTATACTGCTATACAGACAGCTCTCATTGTGTCAGACAGCACAACATTCCACTGAAAGGATCAGCGCGTTTGTGAATAGAGCTATCCGCTCTGAGTAAGTTTGTCCCAGCGGCCTGCCCGTAGCCCAGTGATGTGATCACATGACCCGCAGGAGAGCAGGCAGTATCCTGGCAGTCAGTGGGAGAGAGGATTTCCGTACAGACATGTCCTGAGAGTCACTGTGAGTGGGGACACCATAACCACCGCGGGCAGCTCTGATATGACATACAGGATTGTTACTGCTTTACTAACTATAGTGACATGGAAACAAATCCCCTAACCCACAACTAATGTATCCACCTACCTTATATAGAGACCTACCTTATATAGAGACCTGCCTTCTGTATCCACCTACCTTATATAGAGACCTACCTTATATAGAGACCTACCTTCTGTATCCACCTACCTAATATAGAGACCTGCATTATATAGAGACCTACCTTCTGTATCCACCTACCTTATAGAGAGACCTACCTTATATAGAGACCTACCTTCTGTATCCACCTACCTTATATAGAGACCTACCTTCTGTATCCACCTACCTTATATAGAGACCTACCTTCTGTATCCACCTACCTTATATAGAGACCTACCTTATATAGAGACCTACCTTATCCACCTACCTTATATAGAGACCTACCTTATATAGAGACCTACCTTCTGTATCCACCTACCTTATATAGAGACCTACCTTATATAGAGACCTACCTTCTGTATCCACCTACCTTATATAGAGACCTACCTTATATAGAGACCTACCTTCCTGTATCCACCTACCTTATATAGAGACCTACCTTATATAGAGACCTACCTTCTGTATGCACCTACCTTATATAGAGACCTACCTTCTGTATGCACCTACCTTATATAGAGACCTACCTTCTGTATGCACCTACCTTATATAGAGACCTACCTTCTGTATGCACCTACCTTATATAGAGACCTGCCTTCTGTATCCACCTACCTTCTATAGAGACCTACCTTCTGTATGCACCTACCTTATATAGAGACCTGCCTTCTGTATCCACCTACCTTCTATAGAGACCTGCCTTCTGTATCCACCTACCTTCTATAGAGACCTGCCTTCTGTATCCACCTACCTTATATAGAGACCTACCTTCTGTATCCACCTACCTTATATAGAGACCTACCTTCTGTATCCACCTACCTTATATAGAGACCTACCTTCTGTATCCACCTACCTTCTGTATCCACCTACCTTCTGTATCCACCTACCTTCTGTATCCACCTACCTTCTATAGAGACCTACCTTCTGTATCCACCTACCTTCTATAGAGACCTACCTTCTGTATCCACCTACCTTCTATAGAGACCTACCTTCTGTATCCACCTACCTTCTATAGAGACCTACCTTCTGTATCCACCTACCTTCTGTATCCACCTACCTTGCTTGTACCTGAGTTAGTGTTAGCTAGGCACCCATATTTAGATATATTTATAGTTCTATATTAGGTACTTCTATTCCATTTAGGCATTGTTTGTAATTAAGCTGAATGTTTATACCAGGGGTAGGCCATCTACGGCACTAGTGCCATGCACGGCACTCAAGGCTGCTAGAGCCAAACAGGCTCTGGCCTATCAGGAGTCCCAGTAAAACTTCAAATATCTAATACGAAAAGATGGTGAAGGACAATCCTCAATTTAAGCATTGCAGCACATCTCGGCTCACTTCCTCCAAGCACTTGTGAATGGGAATCCACACCGTAGTAGAGAAGCCAACCATACTGCTAGATATACACCGATATTGTGGATCAAACCAAGTGTTTATCTGAGTATCTGCTCCTTTCCAAATTGTTAAAATAAATGCGTGCACGCTCTGAAGTAAATCACACTGAGACACAGGTATCAGGTTAATGAAAAACTTTGGAATGTTTACTCGGGGCGGCAAGCCCCCTATAAAGGCAAAAATGTAGATAACAGAGAGAATACATCTTTAATTGGTTAGGTGTTAAGTGTCTTATCTAATGCACATCCTACGAGGCATGATGTCACCATCATCCTGGGATTTTACTCCGGATGTAGGCGCCATCTTGTTACACAAGGTAGTTAATCGGTGGGAGGGGGTGCTCTAGCAGCTATTTTGAGTAGATATTGAATACAGGTATACACAGTAAATAGACATTTTACTATCACTAATTTACATTCATAACACAGAAATGAAGAATAACCCTCCCCTTATACAAATAATACAAACAGCCCACACACAAACATACACACAATCTGCACAAACGTAACCCGCTAACAATCCGCATACATGCACACAACCCCACATGCAGCCTCTCACATTCAATACCCCAAACAGCCCACACACACTACCAAACACGCAATGTGACATATCCATCCACACACAATTCCACAAGCAGCCCTCATACACAGCCCACATTCATATGCATCATACACAATACCATAAACTACTAATGAACATATACAATATAATAGCTTATATACGCACAAATACAATGATGCAAAGCAACTGCAGTAAAAATAACACAAGCAGAATACGTCAGCATACACACCTCAATTTAAAAAAATAGGACCGGCATGCTACGGGACTTCACAATCCTATATCGGCACAGTGCTGCTAAAAGGTTGCCTACTCCTGGTCTATACGGTGCCCTATGCTTATGTTTTCCTAATATTCCATTTTGTCATTATTTGAACTTGGGCTAAGTGTGTATATTTTGATCATCATCTTTATTCTTTTGCTTTTGGAAGTGCTTGCAACCAGCAACATTAGAGAGTGTAGGGTACACTGTAGGCAATGTTATCACACATTAAGGCTTTTTAAATCAGAATAAGCTGTCTGTAAGCTTACCTTCTTTTTCAGTCTGATTTTTATTTATTTTTTTATTTTTAATATTGGTTGGCAAACGAACCTACTGTGTCTGATAACAGACTAACAGATGTTTTCCCATAATGTACGGTGTCGATACAATTCAATATTATTCTCTGACAGTTGGCAGATTGTGAGGAAATCTAAAGACAAAACGTGAACCTCGCACTTGCTTTCACGAGGGACCATTCATTATCTGTGCTGTAGAGGGGTTGGATAACGCAGACCTGAAGGGATTGACTTGTTGGTATGCAAAGCCACTGTGTCAGGTAGAGTAAAGTTTATTATTATTTTTCTGCCTAGTTAGGACTTGTTATGTAATGTTGCAACTATATTATACCAAGTGATGTGAGCAGTATGACCGCAATATAATTTGAGTGTTTTGTAAAGATAAAATCTTTATAAATTACTCCTAATAATTGCATGTACCCTGAAATCAAAAGATGTGACACAGTATGGACTATTTTGTTTTATCTAGAAGCCTTAAGTTGACAAAATAATGTTTTGTCCATTACCACAGCCAAATAGAAACTTGTAAAGCCATCACTATGTGACTGTTGACATCAATGGCATTATCTACCACTGTAAGGGTTTATTCACTGAACACTGAAAGTTAGTGAATTGAAAACTGGATTGTAAAAATAGCCAAGCAGTGAGTGTAGCCAAATTGGATTATTTTTACAATTCTATTTTTAATTCACTACAGTTGTGCTTTCAATTAATAATTGTAATGTGAAGGAGTCTGTATAGTTTGAGTGTACATACTCTGTCATGGTGCCATCTCATGGGATTTTCATAGGGCTTGATTTTTTTTTATTTTATTTTTTTGTACACCTGCAATAATTAAATGGCTGCAAGAATCCCTGGTAAGCGATATTTTAGAGAGAGAATGGCAGTGCTGTTGAATGCAGGTCTTTGTGTAAGTATAGACTAACTTAATTTACCAGCCCCGAAGTTTAAATTATTTACAAAGAGGAGACTTCTTTATAGTGATTTGCTTTTTGTTTTTTCCAACAATGCAATGTAACCTATCAACAACTGGGGATAAAATTAATACGCAGGTTCAGAGCTTTAGAAAATCGATAAATCGGTAATAAATCCTTCAAAAAAACAATCTACATAACAATAATAAACATTATAATAATAATAAAATGGATGGTAAACGTGTATTTTAGCGTATGTTATTATTTGCCGTTTCATTCAGGTGTGATTTAGGCAAAACAACTAAATCATATAGTATTTGTCTTACCTTGAATGTGGAGGTAAAAGTGTATTTTAGCGTATTTTATTATTTGGCGTTAGTTATTTTGCTTATTGTGCCACTTAATCACTCCGGAACGAAACGGCAAATAATAAAATACGCTAAAATACACTTTTACCAACTGGATAAAACTCACCTTTTATTTAGAGCTGTCCCAGCCTTCATTAGGCAGCTGCTTCACCCACTGTGATATAATATAATAACTGATGATCTCCAGCCCAGGGCAAGTGCTGCTCTCTGCCAGTTAGATGCTTCTCAAAGAGAAGCGTTATCCCGTTGCTTCTCTCTGAAGAAAATTGTCTAGCGTACGGCATTATGCTCGGCGTGGTGACCCTGAAAGTGAATACTATAACTTTTATGGTCTTAAATAGCAAATACATCTGCTAGTTCTCTTGGTGACACCCACTTCTCTAACAAATGTAAACATTGTCATTTGTGACAGTTGCAGGGTCTTTGCACCAAAACCACTACATTAGACTCTACTGGTTTTGCTTCCTAGAGTGCCTCTTTAAATCTTGTCATTTCCTTGGCATATATGAAGTAGCACATCTTATTCAAGCTGTAATACACTGATAGTCCATGTTCATCTCTCCAGATCATTTACTCTGCATCTCGTACAATGCTTGGCATGCTGACTGAGCATCATGGGAAGTGCAGTATTCTACAGCTGCGTAGTCAAGGTTATCCACCGCTAACGTGGTATAAAATACATTCAGGGTTGTTAACGCCTTTCTAATTATTCTCTACAGGATTATATGCTATTTAAACAAACTGCACTGTGCTCTCCAATGCCCCAAAAAGGTATGTTCTGCTGCTTCTTCGTTAAACCACTGCGTAAAGATAATGCTTCCTAGCATTCTCTGAAGCAGAGCACACGTTTAATTACTTGCAATCAAAATCAGGCACATTAACGATGCCACTATCGTTTAAAGTTGCAAGTGTGGTTTTAGAGAGATGTATTTATTCATCAATAAAATATAAATTAAACAAAAATGAGTGTATATTTACTGTTCACCTAAAAGTGAAAACTATAATCTTTGATCCTCAGTAAAATCCGTATATGGATATGCTTCATGCCTGCAGGGTCTATCTGATATTTAAGGGAAAACGTATTTTCCGAGATCTTGCATTACATGTAAACCTGATTTAATTTGTGTTTTAATATACACCTTTATTTTCTATATAAGCTGCACATAGTTACCAAATATCACTTTTTGTTTTTTCTCCAAGTCATATTTGTCTACTAGATTAATGTGTCCCTGAACAGATAGTAAATTCTTGTTTCGAACTTAGCATTCTCTTGGTTGGAACGGAAAATCGATCTCTCTGCTGAATTGTGTAGCTTCATTATAACTCTGCTAATTACATAGGCAAAATCTATCACACACAGATTATTTGTGCTGATAGGATTTGTTACTTTGTCATGGGCCTGAAAAGAAATAATTGCCGTCAAATTTGTCTGTGATTTCTTTATACAGATGTGTGCAATGTCCTTATGTTGTTCATGGACCATTTGGCGTGCATTATAATCAGGCTAAGACTCCCTAAATTTTGAACCTTCTATTACCTAGGAACGAAAAGGGAACAGAACTGCACCACTGGTTCCTATTTGCGCATGCAGATGTTTATTTACTGAACTCCCAGGTGCAGCAAATTGATATCCAATCCTTAAAATTCTGAATTAAACATCCAAGCTATGGCTATCGCAGTATTGGATCATGTTTCCAAATTTGTTACCATTCGGATTTCATTTGAGAGTTTAGTAAATATTCCACGTATGTTTGTGGCTCCAGATTTGTTACCATGGATGGGAAAAATGGTCCACCTATGTGTTCATTGGTTTTTAAAATGGCTCTGTTGTATTTGTTTTATCAAAGTCCTCCCCACCCCCCCTTCAAAAAAACCTGTCTGCAGATTGTGTTTAGTGTTTTTGCTATTTGTTTTTCTTAATTTTTTCTGCAGTGTTTTAAGAAATTAATTTAACCATTTCCAGATAACCTGATTTTAAGGGTGACAGGAAAGCTACAGACTTGAGCTATATATATAATGTCCTCATCTTTCATCCAAATGAAATTATGGGAGCTTATTAGTTAAGCAGTGAAAATCCTAAATCAATTTTTGCTGCTGACATAACATACTTTCAGCTGCCTTTTTATTTTTACTTTTTTTTTTTTTTTTGTACATCGTAATTTTTAATTTCCTGCGCCTGCTTGTATCTCATGTTTGTGATTCCTTGGTGTAAAATTGTCCATATGTGTATTAAAGACAAGGAGTTTAATTACATGTATATATCATATAATGTGGTTTTAAGATGTACACAGTTAATTAGCATGTCTTTCTTAAACTTTACACAATATGATTTTATTCACTCTTTGTACAGCACAGTCGAGGGTTGCAAATCCCCCAGCAGAAGGTGACCGTTTCATTTTCTAATTTTCTGTTTAATACAGATCGGGGTGGAATTATTTTTTTATTTTTCATAAGCAGAAGGAAAAGCTATGATTGGCAGGTTCTCGGGCAACAAGATATTTATTGCTTAGATAATAAGAATCTAAAGTTTTTTTTTTTTATTTTAGTTTTTTTTTCCCTCATTTTCTGAAAACGCAGGTGGAATAATTCCGTTTTTATCTCTTGCATCAATATATTGTAAAAAATGTAATTACTACACTATATGCCTTGTATGTGTGAGGATAGTGGAAATTGCACTTTTCACCCGAGAGTCTTCTTTTTATAAAGTCTTCAGGTCATGCGTCTGTTTTTATATATAATCTTGTTTTAATCCTGCAGCTTCTGGCTGTTACCCCTTTCTTACAAGTTACATAACTTATGTATGTTGTGTTATTTATTACCACTGCTGACTATTTTGCGTTGGTTGTTTATGTAACTCTGCTCTGATACATTATCATGACATGGGTTGTCTATTTGGATTTTTACCCATACTATGTTTATAACTACTGTTATAAAATTAAGGTGAAGCTGTTTAATGCAATGCCATTTGTTCTGATTTTACATCTAGTAAAAATTGTGTTGTGATCGTTTGGATTTATGTTGTTAGTGTATTGAGATACATCACCAGTATGGACTGGGATACAATGGTCACAGAGGGTGCCACAAGAGGCTACAGTGGACATGATGGCAACAAGGCTTGTTGAGTGGAGGGCCACTATGGGAAAAGTTGTTTGAGCATCGAAGGCCTACACGTCCAACTGTCACTTGAACCAATTTTTGGCCCTGGAAACTGACCATATAATTTTCCACTCCTCCATAACGTTTTCCATTATTTTACCATACCTAAATGTACAGGTTTAGACAAGGAAGAGTTTAGCTTAGCCTGTGTTGTAGGCTTGTTCTATCCATTTGAATATTGTGTGCTGTAGGTTAAACGCCATCAGAGAAGGTGGCATATACGGTCCATTCTATGTTCCACATTCCACATCAGCTTGACAAATAACTTTGATAGTAGTGTCCCTGGTCTTGAAACCTGCCACATGATATGCAGGATGTGAGCTTGATGTCTATTAGTTTCTGGTCCGTTCCCAGATTGACTCAAATTTACATTGACCTTGGCAGGTGAACTTACACATGCTGTACAGTGGTTCTAAAAGTCACTGTTAGTTAAAGGGACACTATAGACACCAAAACAGCTTCAGCTTAATGAAGCAGTTTTGAGTATAGATCATGCCCATGCCATCCTCACTGCACAATTCTTTGCCATATTGCCATGCAAAAAAGGAAGTGTAAACATTAAATCTCTCTTTACAGGAAGTGTTTAGGAAGGCTGTGTAAGTCACATGTAGGGAGGTGTGGCTAGGGCTGTATAAACAAAGCAATTTAACTCCTTAATGGCAGAGAATTGAGCAGTGAGACTGCAGGGCCATGATCTATACACCAAAACTGCTTAATTAAGCTAAAGTTGTTGTTTTTGTGATTATAGTGTCCCTTTAACCCCTTAAGGACCAAACTTCTGGAATAAAAGGGAATCATGACATGTCACACATGTCATGTGCCCTTAAGGGGTTAAAGTAACACTCCATTGAATTTTTAACAATTTAGTAAATATACCTCCAAGTAAAACTGTTTACATGACAAACTGTCACAGACCCCAAACACTTAAAGTACTGAAGCAAGTTGGAGTGTTTCTGGAGTGTACATTTGGGCTTTGGATAATGCACTGGAAGCGTTTGTTTTGATTTCTTTAAATATAGTAACAGAAAATTAATGTTTTGATCTCAATTATAAAAGTGTTTAAAAAAAAAAAAAAAAAAAAAAGTGGGTGCGGGGGAGAGCAGTGTGCTTAAGGTACATATCCAGCTATGCCATGAGTCATACACAACAATATTGTGTGAGGAGCACCTAATCATAGTTTGTAGTTGTAATCGTTAATCATAGGATTTAATTTTTATGGACTCTGTGGATTCTAAGGGTACATGTGGCAATGCAACCATATCTTGACACAAAACCTTATAATTAGTATGTCTCCACCTGTAAATAAACCTGCTGTTTCATATCTGTAAAGCACCTTCATTATAGAAGCTTCAATGTAAAGCCTTTCCGGAAAGATTATATATGTTCCAGTCATTTTAACAGCGTTCTGTTACTCCCATATTTGCAGGTGGCGTTGGCCTCCTTGGGGTTTGTTCACTACACTGAGCAATGTGGGGAATTTATATGGCAAGATGCAAAATTTAGGACAAAACCGAGAAAACACTAAAACTTCTATTTTTTTTCCTGCTTGGTTAGATTGACCTAATGTTCTATTGTCAGTTCGTTCAAGGTCTCAGTTTGGTGAATAAACTAAAGTCAGTAAACTTTTAAAGGAACTCTCCACATCAAGCATGTCAAACTTATATTTGCGGCCCGCAAGACAGGAGAGATATTTCCTTTCTGATTCTTGCCTTCCCTCCCACAGCCGATCGCGCGCTCCCGCAGCTGCAAAAGCGCAGAGTGGATGTCTGTCTGCATTGCAGGCCAGCCACTCCTCCTTTCCTCCTGCTCGCAGTGCCAGCCACTCCTCCCCTCTTGCTCACAGTGCCAGCCACTGCTCCTCCCCTCTTGCTCGCAGTGCCAGCCACTCCTCCTTCCCTCCAGCTTGCAGTGCCATCTGGCCTGCTTGCAGAGAAGAGCAGGGCTGGAACTGGAGGACGGGCGGCTTATCTTAAGGTAGGAGAAGAGGGGCTTGGGGGACCTTCCTGAGTACTGTGTTAAATTGAGGAGGGTGAGCAGTGTATTAATATAAGGGAGGGAGGGGGCAGTATATTAATTTGGGAAGGGGTGGGAGTGGACACTGTATTAATTATGGCAGGAAGGGGGCAGTATAATAAATTGGGTGACGGAGTGGACAGTGTATCAAATTGGGGGAGGAAATGGGACTGTGTATTAGAGTGGTGGGAGGGGGCAGTGTGTTAAATTGGGAGTGGGCACTGTATTGATTTGGGGAAAGGAGGGCAGTGCATTAAATTGGGGGAGGGAGTGGGCAGTGTATTAATTCAAGGGGGGGCAGTATATTAAATTGGGGGAGGAAGTGGGACTGTATTAGAGTGGTGGGAGGGGGCAGTGTGTTAAATTGGGGGGGGGGCAGTGTATTACATTAAGGGAAGGAGGCAGTGTATTGTATTGGGTAGAGGGGGCTGTGTGTTAGATTAGTTTTGGGGAAATGTATTGGATTTGTGGCCAGTGTAGAATAGAGGGAGGGGCTGTGTATTGGCCACGCATGGAGACACTGATTGGCCACGCAGCTTTTTGCCACACATGCACAATAGCCTCCCAATGCTTTCCTATGGTAAAGCATTGGATTGGCTGAAATCATCAAGGTTGATGATCTCAGCCAAAGTGAAGAACACACTCATAGGACCTCAAAATCAACAATATAACGTCATTATTTTTTATTTTTTTTACAGCTGTGCAACAGCATACATTCACCAATTCAGTCCCATTACCAAACTTTTCTTAACCCCTTAAGGACCGGCCTGTTTTTGCGATGTTGTACGTTAAGGACCAGAGCCGTTTTGACACTTTTGTTGTGTTTAGCTGGATTTTCCTCTCTCTCATTTATGGTTCCCATACAAGTTATATATTGTTTTTTTTTTTTAGTTCAAGAAGGGTTTTCTTTACATACCATTATTTGTATCATGTCATATATTTTATTTAAAAAAAAAAAAAAATATGGTGAAAATTTAAAAAAAAAACATGTTTTTGGACTTTTACTTGAAAAATCTTTTACTTATCTACAAAAGCTAATGAAAAAAAACTGCTAAATAGATTCAAAATTTTGTCCCGAGTTTAAAAACACCAGTGTGTACATGCTTTATTGCCTTTTTGCAAGTTATAGGCGTATAAATACAAGTAGGAAATTGCGGTTTCAATATATATATATTTTAAAAATATCAATAGTGACATTGTAACACCGTTATCTGTCATAAATCCCCGAATCACACCTCACATGTACATATTTTTTTAAAGTAGACAACCCAGGGTATTCAGAATGGGGTATGTCCAGTCTTTTTTAGTAGACACCTAGTCACAAACACTGGCCAGAGTTAGCATTTATATTTGTGTGTTTAAAAATGCAAAAAACGCTAACTTTGGCCAGTGTTTGTGACTAAGTGGCTACTAAAAAAGGCTGAACATACCCCATTTGCAATACCTTGGCTTGTCTTCTTTTGCAATGGTATGCCATCATGGGGGTAATTCTCATTCCTGGGCTACCATACGCTCTCAAAGGCAACCTAACCAATCTGACAAATTTTAAAAAAAAAAGTAAAATCAAGCCTTATATACATACACATTATATTATATAGATATATGTGTGTGTATATATAATAAAAATTTTACACTGATTGCTTTATTTTTTAACTTTTATTTTAGATTTTTCACTTGCAGGGAGACTGCCTGTCTGCACAGACAGTCCACCTGCAGGCAGATACACAGGCACCTATTGCGGCCACGTGATCGTTAAAATAAATTTGCTATTTTGTTTACTTTGAATTCCTACAAGAGTGAGGACGTCCAGTGTAAGTTAGGCAACTTTTTTTTTATACTTTTTGTAATAATCCAAAGTTTCTATGAAAACTGAAGTGTTTTTTTTTGTTTGTTTTTTTTGCAGCCCACATAAACATAAACATTGTTTATTTGGCCTGTGTTAGCCTTCGAGTTTGACATTCTTGCTCCACATAAAACATTCCATTTTAATTATTACTTTATAAAATGCTTATTTCCAATCAGACAGTCAGGTTTGTTCCTGTTAGCTGCACTGAGCTAGCAGAGGTGGAAGGTGTGCTGTGCTAGACTGCACGCCTGTCACTGCCTCTCCCAAGTCCCAAGGATGAGCATGCGCATCCTTGCTTACGGATGAGCAAGGATTAGCACGCGTATCCACAAGACTCATTGTACGTTGCTTCCTCCTCCTGGTCCACTCCTAGTTTTCCCCAGCATCCACCCTCGCCACGCTCTTGACTTCTCATTGCGATGAAAGTCTGTGCTGGGTAAAATGGAAGTTGCTTGCAAAGGCTGCAGACATAAGAACTGCTGAAGTACTTTTTGTGTGAAGAGTATGTCCTTCTTTGTTTTTGTTTTTTTTGTTTTCATTTCTCAAAAAGATCAGATTTCAATTTTTTTTTTTTTTTTAAATGTATTTTTATAAACTGACCTTGTTACACCCCTCTGGCTGTGAATCAGACAACAGGTCCTGTTACTTCCTGGTTTGGTTAGCTCAGTGGAGCTAAAATCAACAGACAGCAATTGCTCAAAGCTCCTGCCTTGCAAAGACTTCTTATTAAGCTGCATTGTGAAGTCTGTGATTGGACAGACACAGAAAGTCTGGGCAAGGTTAGAAGGGTTAAACTTACAAATGCTGCGGACAGGAGATCTGCATGTTCTGAAAGCAGTTTTTAGATATACTCCCACAATGAAAATATGCATGCATTTAGTTATGTCATTGGAGTAAAAACTATTAAACGTGATTTGCTTGTGTGTGTGCTGCGTTCCTTTTAATGTGTAGCAAAATTAAATCAGAATTGCTAAAACAGTAGATCTGGGGGGTGGGGGGGGGAACAATTCTAGAAGTCTGCTTGAATCACAGCTACATTTTGACATTCATATTTCAATTTGCTACAGTTCAGAGTTCAGTGAATTACTGTTTTGTGTTTTCTAAGATAAACCCAGACAATTAGCAGGTTAGTAAAGTAACAATGCATTGCAGGATCCATTAGATTTTTGAAAATTATCTAATTGCGCATACTGGAAATAAAGGTGGTTAAAATTCAGGACATGGGGCCCTTGCTAATCATAGTAATTCTCAAAATCTTACTGGTCTTCACTAAACTGCTTAATTTGAGCTTTAGCAGACGCTCCTATGTAATGAGGTCATGCTGCCAATCATGACATTACCGGTCCCCATCTTCTGCATAAAAATATGTAGCTTTCCATATAAAATAAGTTTCAATTTATATATTTTAATTCATGTATCGAATGCCCTGTAAATACTTATGTAATTACAGAACAAATGTAGGGCAGTCTCCTGGGCACCATTTGCCTGTCCAAAAAGGGGCAAACGTGCTAGCAATATGAGGGTGCCTTGCCACAACTGTTTCACTTGCCAGGAGATCTTCTGGTTCACCTAATGCTTCTCATTTCAGTTGCTATCTCTGCAGTGTTTCTAATAGTGAAGCATTGAATTAAATGTTTCTCTATAAAAAGCATAAGAATGGAACCCTCCCTACCGTCTGACTGTTAGGAGGGTGCAACCTTGTCAGTTAAATAAAAACTATGATTTCAAGAGAAATCTGCATTTTTCTAAAGGACTACTCAAAGCACCATGAGCACATCAGTGATTTAAAGAGGTCATTGTGCCTGAAAGTCTGTGTGTTCAGCATTTTGCTATGCAACGCTGCACATGCCGAGTGTAACCCCTTTGCTGCTGCATGTTTATCTCACCCTCCGGCTGCATCACTGGGGCATCTTTAGTCCCATTGCCGTGCACAGAGTTTCATTCCTTGGCTGAGAGCAGTCAGAATCATCAACGATCTTCTGCAGAAGCTGAATGCATGTCACGGCTTGCAGGAGAGGGCTGTCTGTGCTCGGCTAGACCTGGTAAGAGGGAAAACTGTCCCATTACCTGGAAACAAGGCCAGGGTAGTCCTTATGTTGTAGTAATAACCATTTAAGTGGTAATTCAGTAAGCTGAAGTGTTTAAGGGATTTGCAGTGTTCCTTTAAATCGGTATCCTTTTTAAATGTAGCGATCTTACCTTTGGAGCCAAACACGGGAGAATGCGGTATTTAAGAATTGTTGTCCCTTCACAGCAGAGGAGAGTAAATGGTACCAGTGGCATTACACATTTTTGTGAACCATGTTTTTTATTGTTGTTTTTTTTTTTTTATACACATCATGTTCACATTTCTATGCATTGACGTTGCTAATGTAACACTTGCTACTCACTAACTTGATTGGTCCTGCTGGGGAACACTGTCCCGAGCAGAGATCACCTCCTCCATGGTGCCAATATGGTGGCTTGATTGCCACTTTCTCAGTGTCAGAATTGATACACTAACTTATTACAGTGCATGATGCTTTTGAGAGAGGAGGGTGTTCTGCCCTGTCATTTCCCCCTCTATACCAAGTGTGCATTGGGGTGATGGGGCACACCATAACGTTATGTGGCGTTTTCCTGATGATTTGGACCTGTATTATGTCAATAAAGTTGTTTTGTATGGCAGGTACACTTTAAGATATGTAAATTTCATGTGCTGGTTTTCAGCAGGCTCTGAAATGCTAGCTAGGTGTTGTACACGGCTATTAATAGGCGCAAACAAAATGCAGTAATTAGTTTTAGCATAACCAGTAAGTGTAAGGATTGCCTTGAGCCAAAGTATGCATGTTCTTCTGTACCATTTCTCCTATTACCTTTACTCCCCTCTAGATATAATTTGAGACATAGTGTGGTTTGTGTTGAATCCTCACTTCTTCTCCTTTGGATGCAGTAGATCATTTCAGACTGTACATACTCTGCAGCTATTTCTGACTATTCATTGTTTTCGTCCAGCAGGATTTGCATGCAGAATCAGGTTAATAGTGACCACATTGCTTCTTGATGAACAGAGATTCTGATTTATTTAAGGAGAGAGATCTTGTAGGGGCACTGCTGCGCCCTAGGACTTTTAATATAATGATTGCCAATGTTGTATATTTAACAAATAGGTGTTTGTGTGTTTATATAAGCTACTGAAATTCATCCTTCAAATGGGCACCTCCATCTTGGCTCCCTGTCAATCATTAGTTTAAGCTCTGTCAACATTGGGAGAGCGTGCAGGGAAGAATATAAATGTAAATATTATTATCTCAATGGTTTAGAGGGCACTTGAGGGCTTGTTGCTTTTTTGCAGCTGTTCACTGACTAGTTTGAGAATGAGGGGTATACCATATTCACACCTGGTAACTGGGGTAGTTGAGATACACAGGGCTATAGTGTATTTAGAGGGCTACAGTTCCTACTTTACCCCTATTGGGAGGCTATGATTAGGATTTAATGTTGATTAGGTAACTTTACTTCTCACCCTTAGGGGGATTAGTTTGGCAAGCCAGGCACTGTGTAGGTTACACTAGCCGTTTTAATGATGTCCCTACCCTTCTCCCATGCTTTGGTGCTCTCTCTGTGGCCGGTCGCACCTCCATGGCTGATAACCTTAGCCAATCCAATGCGCACTAGCCTCCCAATGATTTCCCATTGGAAAGCATTGGGAACCTATTGTGTGTGTGTGTGTGTGTGTGTGCCTCAAAACGCCGTGCTGCGCCAATCAGATGGTCTCTGAGACCACCTAATAGAAATAGCTGAGTTTCACTTGGCTGTTTTGGACGAAAGCTTCTAGTGGCTGTCAGAACGTCTAGAGGCATTTAAACCCTGATATTGCGGTATGAAGTGGCCTGGGTGCCTATAGTGTCCATTTAATCAGCTATCAAAATTTAACTTGCTCCTATGCGATTTTCAGCCCAATAGACCAGTTAAATACTTGTCATAAACGAGCATTAGATTGGCAACCGCAGGAAAGGATGGCCTTTTTTTGCTGCCACTCCCCCAGTACATTGTCTGCAAGTGGAATAGGATATGGGACAAATTTGACCCAAAGTTTCCAACTGGTAGACTGACATGAGAAAAGGGTTGTTCTATACACACACAAAAATAATTATTGGAATTGATAATGTTCCTATCTGAAATGTTCCAGGCGCTTGATGATTGTACCATAACCACTATGGTAAGCTGAAGCGGTTTGGTGATCCTTTAACTCCTAACTTTTTATGGTCTCTTCCTAGTTGTAAAATCATATTGTAAGTTTATTGTAACACAGTTTGAAGGTCATTATTAGAAAATAATACAAAGTAATTCAAATTAACTAAAGTTAATATATTATCATACACACCTTAATTGCAGACCCTTCCTTCACCAGTTAGGAGCCAGTCAGGAGATTCTCATTCCGGTGTTGTGCTCTGATCTTATCCCATAAACCTCTGTCCAGTGGAACTGGACTGAAAACTATCAGCCGTACTGTGTGTATGTATACTCACAATGTACACATTGATTGGTTCACTGTTTATGGAACCCTGCAATGTGTATCTATTGGAATGCACACACCGCACAAACAACATGGAGAAAATTAATACAAACAACTTAGAAGAGATCCAGACTGCCTGATTGACAGGTCTGTTGGGCTAGGTTAAAGCTGTAGTGATTATTTCTTTTTTTAAAAAATACAAATTGCTGTGGTTCAGAGCCACTCTCGAAGCTGAGGGCTGGTACGGCAGTAATACAAAGTCATAATGGTGCTTAGATTGACCCTTTAACATGGACACATAGCCAGATTTTAAGAAAACAAAAATATGCTAAGAACTATGAAACTTGCGTTTGTTTTTGTTCTTGATTCTGAGTGATGTGTCAGACACGAACAGATGCAGACAGCCCTGTTTTATATAAAACGGCAAATATACTTTATGTAGAAAAGAGAAACTGCTTTTGAGATGGATATCCCAAAGTGTCCATTGCTCTGTGAACGGGCCTCTGTTGATAATTTGCTCTTTCTGGTTTCATGCTCTTTAAAGTATTAAATCTTAGAAGTGGTGCACTACAGAATCTGTATCTCTTGTTGACCGTGATTTTGATGTGGGATCTTTAAAATGCAGATCTAGCTGAGGGATAGGTCTCTACAACATTGGCCCTTTTTAGCATTTTATTTTACAGCATGTTCTCTGTACTGTTACAGGAAGCAAAATATATATCTAGTGTGTCTTCCTTTATATTTTTGTTTGTTTAACACTTCTTATGTAGTGCGCATATCGAGTGATTTACAGATTATGAAAACATAACATTGGTAATTATACAAAGTATAGACAGACCGTATACACAAATCCACAAAAGACCCTGCCAGTCCTGCAATTACAGTGCTTTTATACAAATTGTTTGGCAAGCTGACTCGTGCTTACAATCTAAAGGTAATAATGGGGAGTTGAGACCTGAGGCTTTAAGAAGTGTTTGGTAGTTAAAGGGTTACTCCAAGCATCATAACCAATGCAGCCCGTTGTAGTGGTTATGATGCCAGAAGTACCCTTGCCTCGTTTTCCGGTAATTGAGCAAACCGTTTAGCAACAGTTTGCCCTCTAACCTTGGTCCTCATCAGCCATCAAGGACCCTTCAGTGACCAGTGATAATAGCCGACTTCTGCAAAGCTATAGCAAAATTTTGGAGATGCTAGCTGAGGGAAATCAGGGTGTTTGCCCTAGTGGATTACGCGAAAAAGAAACAACAAACCGAAAAATTATTTTCTGTAGGGAGTTGGAGAGGAGCAGTGTGTAGATGGAGGGGAGTGATGTATAGCATTTAGTGTGAGAATGAAACATTTTGGTATATTTATTCTATCTGCCTAATAATTAATAATGCATACCCTATACAAGCTATACAGAAATTAAGTATGTTATGCAAAAACATAACATACAGGGATGTAATTTCTAATAAGCCGGGTAATAGCTGTTTGATCCAAGCTGACATCTGACTGCTATTTTTACCTTCTTTTGGATCAACAGCAAAGACTTATGTGAGGAAGGCTGAACTTGATGGACGCAAGTCTCTTTTCAGCTATGTAACTATAAGTCAAAAGGCATATAATCTAATAGTTGCAAAGGCTGAAAAAAGATTTGTGTCTATCAAGTACAGTTTTTCTCATATCTGTTTCTGCTGTTGATCTTAAAGCGGCACTGTCATGCCGAACTTACCTTTCTTTAATCAATTCCTCTTCTCTCCCTCTGTTAGGATCTGTTCTTCATTTCTTTCTTTCTGCTCTAGTTTTCTTTAAAACATAAGTCAAAGTAGGGACTACTTTGTCTTATGGAGGTTTCCTACACTTGACCATCTCTGACCAGCGGAGGACCAAAGTGTGCTCTGTTTCCTGTGGTCAGAGAAATTTTCCCACAATTTTTACCTTTCCTCCGTGATCTTGTGATGCTTCCTGTCAGTATTCCCGAACGTCCTGTCACTTAGACAGAACACTGGCGAAACTACCGAATTTCGTCCTATCAGAATGAGAGCAGTTTGTTCATTCGTGTTAGGACGCAATTCAGGACTTTGTTCGGATCGGAATTTCGCCAATGGGTGGGGGCCGGGGTAGGGGGGGGAAGGACAATAGGACCCCCTTGTTGTTGTTTAGGGCGCCCACCTGCCTCTCAGGTTGGGGGCCGGAGGTCCCCCCCTAATTGTTTATGTCGGGCGAGAGGGCCGGGGGGGGGGTAGGACAATTAGGACCCCCACCCGCCACTCAGGGGCCGTGGAGGAGGACACTAGGACCGCTTATGGGTGGGGGCCAAGGGGGAAGGCTTATCAATAAACTGCAATCTTTAAGTTTGGATTCCAATATTGTTGACTGGGTAAGGCAGTGGCTGAGTGACAGGAAACAGAGGGTTGTAGTCAATGGAGTATATTCGAAGCATGGGCTTGTCACCAGTGGGGTACCTCAGGGATCTGTACTTGGACCCATTCTCTTTAATATTTTTTATTAGTCATATTGCAGAAGGTCTTGATGGTAAGGTATGTCTTTTTGCTGATGATACTAAGATATGTAACAGGGTTGATGTTTCAGGAAGGATAAGCCAAATGGCAAATGATTTAGGTAAACTAGAAAAATGGTCAGAGTTGTGGCATCTGACATTTAATGTAGATAAGTGCAAGATAATGCATCTTGGACCTAAAATCCCAAGGGCAGAGTACAGAATATTTGATAGAGTCCTCACCTCAACATCTGAGGAAAGGGATTTAGGGGTGATTATTTCTGATGACTTAAAGGTAGGCAGACAATGTAATAGAGCAGCAGGAAATGCTAGCAGAATGCTTGGTTGTATAGGGAGAGGTATTAGCAGTAGAAAGAGGGAAGTGCTTATGCCATTGTACAGAACACTGGTGAGACCCTTTCTTGGAGTACTGGAGACTATCTCCAGAAGGATATTGATACTTTAGAGAGAGTTCAGAGAAGGGCTACTAAACTGGTTCATGGATTGCAGGATAAAACTTACCAGGAAAGGTTAAAGGAACTTAACATGCATAGCTCGGAGGAAAGACGAGACGGGGGGATATGATAGAAACATTTAAATACATAAAGGGAATTAACACAGGAAAGGAGGAGACTATATTTAAAAGAAGAAAAACTATCACAACAAGAGGACATCGTCTTAAATTAGAGGGGCAAAGGTTTAAAAATATCAGGAAGTATTACTTTACTGAGAGGGTAGTGGGTGCATGGAATAGCCTTCCAGCTGAAGTGGTAGAGGTTAACACAGTAAAGGAGTTTAACCCCTTAAGGACACATGACATATATGACATGTCATAATTCCCTTTTATTCCAGAAGTTTGGTCCTTAAGGGGTTAAGCATGTGTGGGATAGGCATAAGGCTATCCTAACTGTAAGATAAGGCCAAGGAATAATGAAAGTATTTTTAAACATTGGGCAGACTAGATGGGCCAAATGGTTCTTGTCTGCCATCACATTCTATGTTTCTATGAGCAAAAACAATATGGAATTCCGGTCTTGATTTTGCTTGGGATGCAAATGACCAGTATAGCAAATAATTGTGTGTTCTTAAACTTCGTACATGCTAGCCCAAACATTTATGTTTAATCTTTTGATTTTCTTAAACAGATAAGGAGTCTTAGAAGAAAAAATGGAGAAATGCAGATCTCGCCCTCGGAGGCCTGACAAGGCATTATATGTTCCTAAGGCTAGAAGAAGCTTAGAGCCACAGGACGAACATGGAGTTGAAAAGCCCCCTGAAGAAATAAGTGTCTGCAACTTGCATCAAAAAAGCAATGGAAGTAGCGAAAAAAAACTACGTCACAAGAAAGCCACTCACAAGAATAGGCCAGACAGTGCCAAGCATAGCCCTAATTCTAAAGCTTTTGAACCAGAAGAGACAGAATGTAGACTTCACAAATTCCCAGCATCTCAGCAATATGCTGAACAAAAGGATAGGAATCAAGCCTGCAGTCAGACACAGGCGGAAGAAAACGATTCATTATGTGGAGCTGTTAATAGCCTAAGCATTAATGAGAGAAGGGACACATTATCGCTGGACTTAGATGAAAGCTTTGTGAATGCATCTCATGTTGATCCTGTTCATCATAGCAGCTTTTTATCAAAGGTACCTGAACAGGTTGCCTCCTGGTGCTTTAGTGACAGCCAAAGACTTGGAGAACAGTCTGCAAATGGAAGGACAGGGTCAGCAGAGATTAAGATGGAACAGGATAGGTCCACAAAGGTAGAACACAACAAAGAAAGATATCAGTCTAGGATGGAAGTAGAATATTCTTCAGAGTATACAGACTTATGTGAATATGACCACATGATGTCCCCAAGCGTAGTCAAATTATCAAGCAACAAGAAACAGGTAACAGGCACAGATGTCTTGTTTGTATGTGATAGCGAAGTCTTAAATTTATCATCAAGGTCTATACACAGCAGCTGTGATATTGTAGCACAAAGTACAGACAATGCAACTGAAGAGCTGCATAGTGCTTCACTCTCCGATACAGATAGTGCCCAAGTAATCTACACAACTGACACTAATATTCCCATAGACATATCTGGGCAGTTTACTGTCTGCTTAAATGATACTGATAAAATAAGTACTGTAGTTTCTTATGAAAAGCAGAAAAAAATTACAGAGGAGAAATTAGATTTATCACCTCCAGTAACACAGAACGCCTCCGAACACATGATAAAGGATAACGGCAGCATTGTCTGCGCTAGTAATCCCAGTAGCATCACTGCAGATGAAAACCTCACAGATTTAAAAGAATGTGCGGATGAAAGAGGCAAAGGTGTAATAGATGACATTCATTCTTCCAAAACCCCAATAAAATGTGACAACGCAAACACTGAACCACAAAATTGGAATGAATCTGGAGGATTATCTGAGGATAGGGTTGAAGGCAGCTGCAGTGATATGAATAATGCAGATGTAGGGTTAGAAAACGTTTGTCATATGGCAGAGTGTGATGTTAGAACAGAGGTATGTGCAGAACCAGTGTCTGCTGTACTATGTTTGAGTTCTGAAACAGGCATAAGCTGCTCAGGTGATCTGCAGGGTCCAAACATACACAATACAATGATTGATTGTACACTGGAGGGGACTGACGATGCATTAAGTAACAAGACCAACAAAGAGGACAGTGTGGAAAGTCCATGTGCGACCTATTGCGAAACTTCAAAAGACAGCACAGCTCAGTGTGATGGGAGTTGTGATGGTGCTGAAAGCTGGGATACCCTATTCACTGATGATGGAGACTGTCTTGACCCTCATCTTTTGGAAGAGGTAAACTTGCCATAGCGATGTGTGAGAGACCATTATCGTACTGGTAGCCAGTGGGTGAAAATTAATTAGCTCTCCATTTAATTGTTTTTTAATACATATATGTACCTATCACATTCTAAAAATAAAGTGGAATATAGTGTATCTGCAGTTTTGGTATCTTGTAATTTCCTGAGACATGTATGTTGTGTCCCCGTTGCTATTTATCTACCTTTATGATATATCTTATCTTTGCATACATCAAAATGTCCAGTAGATTCTTGATATGGCATTCTATATTATCACTATTCACTTTGTTATATTAGCTCACAAACAGAGAGAAGACTGTAAAGACCTTACAGGCATCCAAATTTAACTACTACGACTACGAACCTGAAGAACCAGAAATGGATGATTTTGATTTGTCGCACGTGATTGAGATCTACGATTTTCCTGCGGAATTTAAGACTGAAGATTTAATGCGCTCTTTTGCCAATTATCTGTGAGTCCTGCTTATTAGTATTAAAAAAGTAATTCCTTTTCAGAATAGCATATCAGTTAGTTTTGTAATTTGCTTCTGCTTATAGTGACCCATTGGGTGACAAAGTAACGTTGTACTAATCTGTTTTGCTCTTGTGTGTCTAGTAACTATTATCTACATTTTTAAAAATCTACTATCCTTAACTCCTGCTGCTGATCAAATAAGCATTACCATTTCTTTAAATACCATCAGAAGGCCATCCTTTTTGGGTTGAAGTATGTATTATTGTGTGTGGAGGTATTGATGGTATGTAATACAGATCGAAGCCAGCAAATTGATCAGTTACTATGACTAAACAAATTTAGCCAGTTTGGTAGTGGTGTGATGTTGGCCACTACAATGCAGGATATGTCCTCAATATCTACAGATAGCTGTAACAGTTAGGAATGTCGGTGAACGGTTAGGTGTGGCGTTGGTGAATTAAGGATAGTGTAAGGAGAAGAGAGATTAGAAATTGAAATTTTAGTAAGAGGGTAGGGGCAGTAATGTAAGGGTAAGAATGAGGGTTATTCTACTTAAAATGCCATACTGGGCATTTTTTTTTTTTTTTTTCAATAAACCTGCACAAAATACTTGTACTTAACTGGAATCCAGTGCCGGACGAACCTCCTGGTGTTGCCTTTCATGCCTCCACCCGTTGTCAGTAAGGCCCTCCTGCAAGCCAGTCTTGGGATTCTCATAGAGAAGCCTGTGATTGGACCATTTTGCCCTCAGGACGCACGTATCCAAATGTGAGCTGGCGAGGAGGGAGAGTAATAAATAGAAAACAAAAACCCCCCAAAAAGCTTTATTGAGGCTATAGGGAGGCAGGAGAGATCTACTTGTTCAGGGTCTTCTTAACTTCCCTCCAAATGAGAAGCTTGATACATCCGTTGCAAGCGTGCGGTGGGCTCTGACAGACATATTTTATGTACAGAATTGACATTTGGAACCTTGGAACTCTTTCAGGCTGCAAAAGTAATATAACTTGCCTCCGTTACACAAATAAACTACCCTTTTAACCATAGCAGCAGTATTACACAAGGGCCCATTACTGACTGTGCGCAGCCTTTCAAACAGAAATGTTACACATACAGAATCTTGCCAACATGACCACTTCAAATCACTTTATAAAATCGTATAGATAGATATTAAACGATGTCTTCAAGTTACCACTTACCTGCAGGGCCTTAAGATTAAAGATCCTATCCCCAAACCATGCTACTAGTCAAATGGTATGGACTGCTGGGCAGATTCAGGATTCCAGCTCACTCCTCATGCATTGTTCTCTACATCTGGCTCTTCTTTTGATAATCATGCAGAAGGAAGCAATCAGTGACACTCTTGCTTTTTTGAAACTGATTTACAGCTGACCGTTTGTGCTTGATCAAAAGTCATCCATTCGGAACTAGGGCTTGGTTTTAGGTTTTTGTCAGAATGTCGTAAAATGTAGATACAATATCATACCCACGTACATAAGCCAGTTGTGTGGGCTGACTTAACAGATGTAAAATGTTGCATGTGTGCCATTGGCAATGCATGTTATTGAGTTTTTTTCTTTTGTGTAATTCTGCTGCAGGAAGAAGGGATTTGACATTAAATGGGTGGATGAAACGCACGCTCTTGGCCTTTTCTCCAGTCCGATTACAGGTACTGTAGTCTTGCGTCTCTTTCAATGTTGTAATGTTAGTCCCTTCTGCACCTTATTCTGACTTAAACATCAATGAAGAAACTTTCAGGTACTTTTTCAGATATTTTTACATGTTTATTCACTCTGCTGATCTGTCCACATGGCGGCGTCACTGAACAACGTTGTTTGTAAACTGATGAAATCCACTGCAGAGCAGTTCTACTCATTCTATGTAATGAGCGCCACTGCTTATGCGGAATTTACCGCTAATGTTGGACAGGGCTTTATGGGAAAACAGTCTCTTCCTGATTAGTCTGCTGTTGCAGACTGACCCACAAAACCGAGCTTCTAAGGAAACTTTAAACGTGTGTGTGTTTGTATGTGTGTTTATGTATGTGTGTATATATATATATATATATATATATATATATATATATATATATATATATATATATATATATATACCGTATTTTTCGCTCCATAAGACGCACCTCACCATAAGACGCACCTAGTTTTTAGAGGAGGAAACCCAGAAAAAAAAATATTCTGAACAAACTGTTCCATAGTGTTTCTTACTATGGGACAGTTTGTTCAGAATATTTTTTTTTTTTTTTTAAAGGAATTTTTTGTTCCTTACCACCCACTCCCCTCTCCTGTCCCATAATGATCTTTAACCCCCCTCCCCTGTCCCATAGTTATTTTAACCCCCCTTTCCTCTGTCCCATAGTGATTGTTAACCCCTCCTCCCCTTGTCCAATAGTGTTCTCATCCCATAGTGTTCCCCCCTTCTCCCATAGTGCACTTTCCCTCCCATAGTGTCCACCCCTCCTCTTGTCCCATAGTGTTCCCCCTCCCCTTGTCCCATAGTGTCCCACCCTCCCCTTGTCCCATAGTGTCCCACCCTCCCCTTGTCCCATAGTGTCCCACCCTCCCCTTGTCCCATAGTGTGTCCCCCTCTCCTTGTCCCATAATTACTTACCTGTCTTGTAGCGTGGGCCGGCTTCACAGCGCGCTCCGCGGTACAGGAACTTCAATTTCAGGTTCCGGTTTCTGGCGGGACTGAAAGGAAGTGTGCACACTGAGTGTGCTTTTCCTTTCAGTCCCGCTGGAAACCGGAACCTGAAATTGAAGTTCCTGTACCACGGTGCGCGCTGTGCTGCCGGCCCACGCTACAAGACAGGTAAGTAAAGGTTCACATTCGCTCCATAAGATACGCATACATTTCCCCTCACTTTTGAGGGGGAAAAAAGTGCGTCTTATGGAGCGAAAAATACAGTGTGTGTATGTGTGTATATATATGTATGTATATATGTATGTATGTATATATATATATATATATATATATATATAATTTTTTATTTATTTATTTGCAAAGTGTCTGTGATCATAGCACCCTGGTGGACACACTGTCGTGTCTGAGAGGGAGTTATAGCACAAAATTACCGCTGCTCATGAAAGTTGGGCACCCTAGGTGCCTGTCTGCATTGCCTTCCTTTTTGCTCTGCCTGGCCGCTGTTCTGATACATAATTAATTGTTTTCTTGGACTTTGGTGATGGGCAGAGACCCAATTTAAAGTTAAACCATTAAAAAAAAAAAAAAAAAATATCACACAAAAAATGTGTATGACCGTGCTCAGTGACTCCGGCACATTAAAAAGCTTTATTAAGGGGTTTAGGGTGGAAAGTCCTTTCTAAAAACTTTTTACAAATGTGGAACTTTTTTGAGGGGGCTGGGGGGTGTTCTATAGTTTTTGTACTATATTACATTCATGGATGTAACTAGTTGGTGGTTGCCAGTATGCCTGGAAACATATGGCACCAGCAATGATGCATAATTAGCTATATTCCCTCCACTGCATATTTAAATATACAATTGGCCAAATGCATGTGGTAGCCACACATACCTAATTTTTAACTTTCATATATATATTTAACAAAACAAACTTACTATTGGCTAATTAGCTACACTCTCATGGAGGCTTTTACCAAGCTTTGGGAACTGGTATTGAGTGATCTGTCTTCTTTCCACAGCCCGGGATGCATTGTCTATGAAGAATCCTATATTAAAAGTAAGGCCACTGTCTCAAGCATCGAAAGCTTCTAGAGCCAAAGCCAGATCCTGTTCCGGTAAGTTGAAATATTACGAAGAATAATTAGTTTGGGGGCTAGAGTGCAACAATTTAAAGACTTTGAAATGACTTTTCTAGAACCTTTTCTGCTTTGCTTAGTAAAAAACCAAACGCCTTAATATCTTAGAGCAGACATATATTTATCTTTTTTTTTTTTTTTTTTTTTTTTTTTTTTTTTTTTTTTTTTTTTTTTTTTTTTTTTTTTTTTTTTTATTCTTGTTGATCTTTTCTCTCTTTTCACATACCGAGAACATACAATTTTTCTATGAAAAAGAGGATATAGTTGGTTTTCCAAGGGTTACATGGGAAGGGTAATGTGAACTGGCTACTAGGGTAGAAGAAATTGACACAAAGTTTGTTTTGTTTTTGTCTCCTAAATGAAGCTCCTCCTCTATTGCTGAGATCACCAATGTTGAATAGGAAATTATTGGGAAGATAGCGCGCATGCGCAGCAAAAAGCCGCACTGCACCATTCATATGATCTATCTGAACCTTCTGATGGAAATTGCAGTTTCACAGAAACGCCTCTAAAGGCTGTCAGCATGACAGGCACTAGAAGGTTAACGGCTGTGGTTTTAGCTGCAGGGTTAAAATGTGGGCACATGGCACCCAGATTACTGTATCTGATGTACCTTATACTGAAAATGTCAATAGAATCAGACATTTAAAAAAAAGAAGACTGGCCATATACCCCATTTTGAATAGCCTGGTTGTCTACTTTTGCAAATGGTATGCCATGATGCAGTAACTTTCATTCCTGGGCTGCCATACGCTCTCAAAGACAACATCTCAAACCAATCTGGCAAATATCAGTGTGTAAAAACCGAAATGGACAAGGGTTGATCCTGTAACTTTCCAAAACCCCATAAAACCTGTACATGGGGGCATCGTTGAACTCGTGGGACATGACGGCATACAAATATGTGTGTTTTATTGCAGTAAATGCTAGCCGTATTATGACGTTCACAGTTAAAATGCCATGCAGAACTTTTTTATGGAACTATGTAATGGAACAAAATAATATATAATAAAGTGCACTTAATATGAAAGAGGTAAATTATGGTTAGAAGGACTTGTAGTTAAAATTCTAGGTTTAGTTTTGGTTCAGAACATGAACGATTGCCTCCGTCCTCAAGGGGTTAAGCAAGTTCTCTGACTCCTTTTTTTTTTTTCCTGTACGGGGACGTAACATGGCAACTACGTCCATTTATTTTACTGTGAACTAGCGAATGGCTGTTATATCCGCAATTGGGGGCATTGTACCGTTTGCATCTGACGTTCTGATTTAGTAAGATTTATGTATTAGGTGCATTGCCTTTTTATTAATCTTCACAAACTTGCCTTTTGTTTTGTTGGCAAGTTCTAGTCTCGCCTTCAAGTTATTAAAACTGCAAGTGTGCTCACAAAATGCCAGTAAAGGTACCAGTCCTGACATAGTCACTTCTTTGTGATTAATGTTTTGAGCAGAGATTCAATCATGCTTCTCAAGTCATTGTCTGGGGCCAGATCTAACAGTTGTAAATAGATCTTCCTTAAACAGTGCAGTTTTGGTGTTTTCTTTCCTATTAAATTTCCAGTGTTCTGTCATATAAAAGCATATAACATGTAAAATATGTGTTTATTTTGGTGCGTTTATGTATTTTTCCATGGTATTTTTGATTGACTGCTTGGTTGTTTGTGACTGCATTGACCTGTTAAGTTAAAAAAAAAAAAAAAAGGTAAAATATATATATTTTTTTAAAAGCGACACAAAGTGGTGCACAAAGAATCAGTTGGTCTATCCTAGGTAACAGTTGGCAAGTGACTTGTGAGAGCCTGAGGGTGCTCACAGATTAATATTAGCCAGAGCAGTGGGTCTGCACTGAAGGAATGTACTTTCCTCCGCACGTCTCTCTAAACTGCACCCAGCAGAACACCGCTTTAATAAAGAGACAGAGCAGGTGGGTTCCAAAAGAAGGATTGGACGACCAATAGGGATGCAACGATTCATGAGGGACTGAGAGGACATTGGGAAACCCATTGGAATTGGAGAGACAGATGATGGACAGAGAGGGCATTGCGAGTCACATTAGGGAGGGAAGTATGGAGATACAATTATGGGCATGATATGGCACTGTAAATGCAAAAAAAGTATGTGGCGGATTGTGAAGAGGCAGAACTCAAAATAAACTCAAGTTGGGTCTAAGATGGGGTGCACAAGCACATCTGTGAGGAAGATGCATATGGAAAGTGCACAATATAAATGTCTGTTTTATATGGTAAACTAGATGCAGATCCATTTTTAAAATTCCTTTTGGAGATTTAACAAACCATCATGATGTCTGTTTAAATGAATCAAATGTTGCCGTCTGACTTCCTCTTGATGGGTAGTGGCAGGATCAGTAAAGTAGGTGTCCAATCACTATGCAGATCTCCCATGGCAACATCCTCCATTCATCTTACTCGTTCTGAAACCTGTTGCTGTGAGGAACATAACATGTGGATGGACGAATGCACTTAGATTTTATTTTATGCAGTGCAGCAGTCTGTATTTTATATTTCGTATTTCACCATATGAGATTTCAATACATCAGTGTATAAAGTGTATGCTTTAAAAAACTGCTTGTTTGAACATTGGATGTCTAGAGTGTCCGGTTAATATTTTTATTAAGCATTAGTAATAAATGGTCATCATATTATGCAATGCTATACAACATGGACAATATATATATATATAAAGAATGCATTGTAGCCAATTTAAAATGCAAAGTTATAAAATGAGATGTATCCCTGCCTCCCAGCATTGACAATCTTTATTACATGGTCTGTTAGATCTTTAGAAAATCCATTTATTAACACCCTTATGTTATGTTATTTTTTTTTTTTTTCTTTTCATATAGACCTCAATGATAGGCATAAAAATGTTGGCAAAGCTTTATTTCTCTGCAAAGAAAATAGCTGTGGGGAATTTTCGGTGGATGATTTTTCTCCTTTTATTAATATTTAATAATAAAACATTATGGCCAACAAATTCAGAACATCATAAATGACTTAACATGATCAAAACTGCATTGGAAAAACGTATTGTGCCAAGTAAACACATGTTGAATACATTTTTAACTCTGAAAAATTACAGACAATATACTTTAGTATGGGACATTTAAGTGTACGTGTATACTTGCAAGTCCAACTTATCTTGGGTTTTCTATTATCTAATTAACCAATGAAAACCTTTAACCCTTTGCAGTCCTTTGTTGGAATATATCTGACACAATATTTTACCTCTCGCAGTCCAATGTCGGATTTTCCCTGGAGAGCACCGGCAATCCTCTATGCCGGGTGCCGAGGATCTGCAGTATAAAGTCATCCCTGCATCCAAAATCTGAATATTCATGTACAAGTGCCTTTTGGTTACTCTTTCTACATTAAGGGCCTTAGTAGATTTTTTTTGTTCTTATTATTTAATCGTGTTTTGTAGTGAAGGACAACTTAAGTGCAGATAAGGGAAGTCCCTTTTTTTTTTTTTTTTTTTTTTTAAATTTGCGAAATGTAAATCTAAATACGTTAAGTACCCGCAGCATTTGATGTGATGATGATGTCAGGCGTTAAGAGATCCTATATAAACCAGATATTGTAGAAGAGCAATAAGTATTTTTAAGGTGATGACAATATGAAAAGTCATTGGTCTCTCTGGAGTTAAGTGTTCTGGACTAAGTCTGTTTAACAAGTAGGAGAAGTAGGAGTGAGGTGCCAGAGTTTTGACTTTATCATTTTTGCCCCCGTAATTTACTGCTTTAGATATCATTATTATATTAAATCATATACTTTATTTTCTCTTTGTTCTTTATGTGGCTCAGAGTTTCTACAGCCGGCCAAAGAACGTCCAGAAACGTCTGCGGTTCTTGCAAGGAGACTTGTGATTAGTGCCCTGGGAGTGCGAAGTACCCAGACCAAAGCAGAGAGGGAGGCTGAACGAAAGAAGCTACAGGAAGCTAGAGGTGAGAGGAAGCAATTATATTTTGCAACGGTTTCTGTTTTTTCAGTAATCATTGTTAACTGCTTTTTGCTGTAGAGCTATAAAGAGGTTTTTTTTTTATTTATTTTTATTTCTAGTGTGATCATAATTATCATTGAGCAAGGGACACTTGCCCTATTTACAACAAGGTCTTGCCTACAAGCCAAAAAAGTTAATTTTTCATTGTACTTCTCTGTTAATTACAGTATACCCAATATGGCCAAATGGACAGAATTGTGCAACTTGTTTAAAGAATCCCTCTATCTACCATGACGACTAAATGTTTGTAGTTTTATTATAGTTGTATTTTTCATTATGTATTTCACCCATCATCTCTAGCTTATTTTTTTTACTAATAAAAGGACACTAATTATAATGCAGCTGGCTGCGCTTAGCTTCCTACATTGGCCGAAGTACAGCTACACCCTTTTCAAACTAACAGCAAAGCCGTATTCTGGAATTTCAGTGGCATGCTTGTGAAGGAGGTGTGTGCTGCTTTGTCAAGGTTCTGTGCCCCTAATGACCGAGGGCATTGAGGTATGACCTAATAACCTCAATCATTAATGAACCTAAGTTCTTTACAGGCACGTTATTGGTGTAGTGCTATGGCGCACCATTTTATGGCACACCCTATACAACCTGCACTGTATAAACATTCACAAGGTCAGCATTTTTCATGTTATTTAGAATTAGTGTTTGCTCTAAAGTTCCTTGGGCTCAGGGCTAGAACCTCGATGGGTTAGAGAGGTGACCATGAAATTATTTAACAGGACAATAACCCCTCATTTTTGTGCTATTATTTTAAATAAGGTATCTCTCTTTGATTGTTACATTTAGAAAAGCAGTCTGTATAAGAGTGCCATATCATACCTGTTAATAAAAACAAATCCCTCTATATTGTTATGTCTGGTTAATCATTTTGTAGTTTTAAAAGGGATACTATAGTTACCAGCATCACTAAAAAGGGATACTATAGTTACCAGCATCACTACAACTTAATGTAATGGTTCTGGAGCATAGAGTCTATCCCTGCAGTCTGAGCAGTGTCTGCAAAAAGGCAGGGCTTACACTGCTCCAAAACGCTATCTGTAGTGGCTATCACTTGGGCAGCCACTAGAGGCACTTCCTGCATTCAGGTTTTCAAGACTGCCATTTAGCGTCTCAGTGCATCTCTGTGAGGAAATGCAATTGGCTGCGCATGCTCACTCGCCTCCAAATCCTTCCCTATGATGAAGCATTGGATTGGCTGAAATCGTAAAGACTGGTCTCAGCCAGGGGGGCAGTGGAGAGACCGGCGGGGGGAGGGAGTAAGTTGAGTAAAACTACCTTTTATTAATTCTGTGGGCCCTGAATCTAAATAGGTAGATTTCATGTCTGTATTCCTACTTCTCTATTTTACCTTTAAATATCCTGTTAACCCCTTAAGGACCAAACTTCTGGAATAAAAGGGAATCATGACATGTCACACATGTCATGTGTCCTTTAGGGGTTAAGGAGGTGTTATACGTTTAAGCAATCACTCAACATGCAAACTGTATTTTTTTCTTTCTTTAAGTGGAAGTGTAAATGCCACATAAGTGTTTGTTTTTAGTTTCCTTGAGACAAAGCACTTTGTGTTCTGGGTGAAATCTGAAACCCATTTGGCTTTTACGTAGCAGCTAAGCTTGTTAATGCAATTTTGCTGCCTCTGACATTTTCCACTGAACTTTTTATATTTGTCCTTTTAAACTACAGAAACATTTACACCAGTGTGCAATATATATATGTATGTATGTATGTATATATGTGTGTGTGTGTGTGTGTGTGTATATATATATATATCAATCAAATCCACCCTTCCTCTTCTGTCTTCTTTAACTTGCACCAAAAGCTGCCACAAGATGGAGCTCTCAGAACCCAACATGTTTATTTAAATAGAGCATAACCCGCAGTGGTTTGAAGTATGGTTTTGGCACGGTACTGAAATGGGTTATGTGATCAAATTCAGGTACATGTCTGCAGAGCTACAAACTTCATACATTGTAACTGGCATTACAGTAGAATCTAATTTTATCCTCCCTTAAAATGATTGTTTAGAATTTCAGTGAAATTTATTTTTCTTTATCCTAAAGTAAAGTGCAAAGAATGATGTACACATATAATTTTTTATTTTTTTTTATACTTGGTGAATTTTAACTACAGATCTGCTTTTTCTTAGAATTTAGTTTTTGTTACTCTGTAATCAGTATTAATTTAACAGTAGTCAGTCAAGTTATTCTTTGAGCCATTTCTGTACATGGTTAAAAGCGAAATGCCCTTCCGAGCAAACGCTGTAAAAAGTGAGTTTTCTGGATATTTAAATCTGGGACAAAAAAAATACAGTTTAAATAACAATTCAGGCACTCCGGGAAAACAAAAATAGCAGCTTTATTGGGACAAGAACCACAATGTTTCGACCCTACCTGGTCTTTATCAAGCTTGATTAAAAACCCGATAGGGTCGAAACGTTGCCGTTTTTGCCCCAATAAATCTGGTATTTTTGTTATCCCAGAGTGCCTGAACCGTTATTTATTCTGCATATCTTGAAAGGGAGGCCTGGCCAGCCCTTGCTTCAGAGCACCTGGGTTACTTGGTGAATGTGGTATCCAGTAAGTCTCTACTAAAAAAAAAAAAATACAATTGGCATCAGCCTGTTGAAATGTAACCATTTATTCTTCTGAAAAATATCCCTCTGATGAGCAGCTTAATTGGTGTTCTCAATATCATTCCGACAGCAAGAAAGCAACAGGAACGGCAGGTGCTGCTGAGATGAGAATAAAATCTTTCAAACCTTCTATTTTCTTTGTAGAGAGAAGGCATTTGGAAGCAAAGCAGCGTGAAGATGCTTGGGAGGGAAGGTGATGACACTGATGTTTGAACACAGCAAGAAGAATGACATGTATCTGTAATATCTATAACAGAGAGCATCCTAACAAGCATAAAAGTTTTTTTGTTTGGTAGAGATACAGTGTTTGACTTACTCTTAAATCATTTGTTTAGCTGTGTAGGACGAAAGGGTTTGCCTTACATCGGAGACTTTTTTTTTTTAAAGTGTGTATGAAATACCTGATAACAAGTAGAGACTGGAAGAAAGTGACGAATTTACAATTTTTAATCCAAATTAGCTTTTCTCTGTTAAGTGTTTTTAATATTGATAAAAACTGTAAGAGTGTGAGTTTTTCTCATTTTTGCAACATATTTTGAGTTGTCAAATATTTATCGTACATCCAGGCCTAAATAAGTATTCAAGAATGTATGAATATTTACCTGCAGGAAGTAGTGAAACTGCATATCTGCAAAATATCCTTCTCTTTCCTGTTTGTTAAATGAGATTTTCTCTAAGTGCCTCGTTCTAAAGTTGATATGTTGGGTGTCACAGTGTTTTCCCAAAGTTTCGATAGTCACTAACAAACGATTGTCTGTAGAGGGCAATGGGAGATGAATCACTGTTAGTTTGAATGTAAACCAAGCTAAGCTAAATCTCATCCATAGATTGTTTGGCAATGGCTCTTGAATTGGGCACTACACAGCCCTAATTATGACCCTCGTTCAATATTTTTGGATAAGCTTTTAAAATGATTTCATATTTTTGAACACTTTGTGCACCAAACTTCTTCATTGGTGCTTGGTGCCGGCTTGCCTTTAGGGAATAAACCGTTAATGAATGATTTAACCCCAAAGTCCAGTATGCAGCGGCCAATCTGTTTGTCTCTTCCTCTCTGCTGCTGAGAAGCCCTGGCCAGGGTCTCGGGCCGAGTAGCTCCCCATTTACTATATGTGCGCATGTGTGTGTATATATGTGGGTGTGGGTGTGTGTGTGTGTGTATATATATATATATATGTATGTATGTGTGTGTGTATGCATGCATCTCCTTTATAAATATATATAATTTTAAAAGCGTATCCAAAAATATTAAACCGAGGCCCATATTAGGTAGGAAAATGAATAGATGCTGTTTTTTGGTTAATTTAACTTTTAAGTGAAAACTGTCATCATGAGTATTTACAATAAAATATTACCTGTTTTCTAGCCTCTTGTATTATACTGTAGTGTGTGTGTACCTCTTATCATTGCATTCTCTGGCAGTGGTCATTGTTAATTCCTCTGTGATCAGAAGCACCTCTTACTCAATCACAGGATGTAGGAGTGACATATAAAATCCTAATGTGCAGAAGTGGCAGACCTCTAAAACCAAATTCGGTGCTGGTTTTAGGCATTCATTAAACCCAGTCCTTAACCAATTTAGGAGTCCTTCTGACCAAAGTAGATGTATATAGATAGCTGCCCCAATGCAGATGCAGTAAAGACAGGTTGTATGTATGCATTACAATGTACTGCTCATGGGCTATAATGCATAGAATTTATTTTAAACAATAAATTATGACCGTTTTCCTTTAAGTGGTTCTAAACTTTTTTTGAGAGGGACCCAAATTATATACATGGCATTAGCTTTTCGGCCTGTTCTTTAACTGGAAAGTGATTTTACAGACATTCTTAAATTGTAATGCAATTAACATGGCAATTCATGGCTTCGTAACAGTGATACAGATATTCTAGAAAGGTTTCCCACTGCGGTGTGAAATGTCACGATTCAAAATTATTTTAAAATTGTATAACAAAATATTTAAACTGGAAAAAGTTCACCTAGTTCGCTTTATATTAAGGTTGGCTTTCGTATACTAAACTTTTAAATTCACTTTGCATTCCCAATCCTGTTGTGTCGTAGGCCTAATTATTACATTGCAGTTTTATTACCTGCTCTGTGATCATGCAATAAGTGGAGAGGTTGCATTGAAATAAAATAAATTCATTTTCTCTAAACTGGATAGTTTCGTATTAAGATGGGGATTGTCTAGACGGACTAAATTGTTTGTTTTTCATTTTTTATACTGTTTGTCAGCTCTGGGACCGGACATTTTTAGTTACACATTAATTAACAAATCACGCCATTAATATAATTAAGGGGGGTTTTGTCTAAAACAAGCTGTAAAATAAGGCACCAAATATGTTTAACCGATATTTCATTAAAAATCATAAGCACACTTCTGTCAAAAGTCACTGAAGTCCAATAATTTTATATCATATGTTTAATTATCGTACTAGGTTGCAATTGATTATGCTGTACTGGTAAGGAATAAAACTAAAATTGAGCAGAAAGGGACTCACTTTATACTCTGCCCAACTGATGGTAATTGGGAGATCAATAAATACAGTTAGTAGTGGGATGTTGGGTACTGAGATGAAAACTTTTCAGGATAGGATCAGAGATTTAACTAGGTCATAGCATTGAAGGTTGTGATGAAGATAAATAGGGTTAGAAACTAAAAAAAAAGCTTAGGTTTTTAGTTAGAGTAGAAGCTAGGGTTAGAGGTTAGGGCGAAAGTTGACATGCTCTGGAAAGCCTAAGATCCCAGAAAATGAACCATAGGAACTCCAAATTGCCCTAAGCTCTTAAATCAGGAATTATTTTTTTTCTGTTGATTATGATCGTTGCTATCCAAAGAATTCAAAAACTAGTCATTTATATAATGAAATTGCAATATGCCAAAATCCAACTCCTGTATAGTCACATGTCGAATATTTTTGTCAAATTATCAGTTTGATTTTTGGTTCATCTCAGCAGTCTGATTTTAGCATTTAGTTTACTCATATAACTAAGGTAACTTTTTTTAGTTTAGTTTTTATGGTTTTTGTTTTGTTTTTTATATTTGCTTGTAACATTTGCATGTACAGTGTAAATAATGACCCATGGATACATCTATTTTATATTCTGTGAAAATATCATCAAATGATTCCTTGGCCTGTAGTGAAATGCTCACATATAAACATAACAGATAAAACAATTGAATATTGCTACAGTCTGTGGATTAGAATTAAAAACTGCAATAATTTCACGCGGGTATAATGTCATGCTGTACCACATATACGTTTGACACACAATGTGAGACCAGAGGGTGAAATACAGGTAATACAATTAACGAATAATAGTCTTAAAATATAGCAAAATCTGCGTATAAAGTGGAAGCCTGATTGACACATCCAGAAATCTTGGTACGTGGACTGCCAGTGGGCACATTTTACCCATGGGGCTTGCATTTGGTGACTATATGAAGCACACTGTTTTTATGTTTATTTTAGAGGATGGGAAGACCCCTTGCAGTTATGTACAACTGCTTCATAAGTTAGAGAAAAGACAGATTTTTGTGTATTTTAATCCTTTGCCTTTGAAGTGTTTGAGTGATAAAGTCTTTAGTAAGCTTGTAGACCTACAAGATGTCTCAGTAATATATATGGGGTTTATTTATTAAACCAGGAATTGTAGAGAATTGGAATGGAAATTGCAAATTTAATACAGCTTAGCTGAATAATTGCTCAGTTTAAGAATTTAAAGTCTCTCGTGGCTTTCGGAATAGACAATGGACGTAGCATAAATGCTTAGGTCTCCACAATGCTGGCTCTTTCATCATTAATTCAACATTTCACCTGCCATAATGGTTATGTATTGATAAGTAATTCAACTATATTCTTCTTGTCATAACAAATGATATTGATTCTCTCAGGCTGTGAAAACCAAGCAGAATTTTGTAAACTGATATGAAATGTGTGGGTGTTTATTATTTTTATAGGATTAACTTTTTTTTTTCTTTTTTTTTTGTGTAAAGTTTTACATTTGTTATTCGTTTCAATAAACATTGTTCCTTTGTTTGTCTCATTCTGTTTTCATTCGTTTGGGGTTTTATAATTACATTAAGGATTCTCTATACATTATTTTAATTCCTTCACTGCCAGGTTATTTGCAAAAGAAAATGACCACTAGGATGTTTTTTTATTTCTTTGTGTTTTTGTTTAATATTTTGAAAAGTAACATGTAAAAGTTTTGTTTTTGTGTTTTGTTCAAAATGAATAAACAGTGCTTTATTTAATGACAAAATGGTAATATGCTTGTTTATCCTTGTTTAACCGACAATGAAAAAAAAATCAGTTATGATTAATGGGTTTGGAAGCAAGAAAACAAGACTTTTTTATTTATTTTACCCAGGTTAAGATGGTGATAAACATGTATAAAAGTGGTTGAGTGATAAATGTACACTTCTGCCTGCCATGTATACCCGTTATTGGTATTAAAGTAGTTAAATGACCACTCCACACTTACAAACCCCCACAAAAAACAGTTTAGTAGATATACCCCCAATTTATACATGCATGCATATTTTCATGTATGTATTCATTGGGCGTTAAGCCTGAAAGAGCTTACAAAAGCTGCAGCTCTTATGACTGCAGCCTTTGTAAGCCATCCCCTCCACCCCCCTCCAGTCTCTTAACATAGAATGTGACGGCAGATAAGAACAATTCGGCCCATCTAGTCTGCCCGATTTTCTAAATACTTTCATTAGTCCCTGGCCTTATCTTATAGCTAGGATAGCCCTATGCCTATCCCACGCATGCTTAAACTCCTTGACTGTGTTAACCTCTACCACTTCAGCTGGAAGGCTATTCCATGCATCCACTACCCTCTCAGTAAAGTAATACTTCCTGATATTATTTTTAAACCTTTGTCCCTCTAATTTAAGACTATGTCCTCTTGTTGTGGTAGTTTTTCTTCTTTTAAATATAGTCTCCTCCTTTACTGTGTTGATTCCCTTTATGTATTTAAATGTTTCTATCATATCCCCCCTGTCTCGTCTTTCCTCCAAGCTATACATGTTAAGATCCTTTAACCTTTCCTGGTAAGTTTTATCCTTCAATCCATGAATTAGTTTAGTAGCCCTTCTCTGAACTCTCTCTAAAGTAACAATATCCTTCTGAAGATACGGTCTCCAGTACTGCGTACAATACTCCAAGTGAGGTCTCACCAGTGTTCTGTACAATGGCATGAGCACTTCCCTCTTTCTACTGCTAATACCTCTCCCTATACAACCAAGCATTCTGCTAGCATTTCCTGCTGCTCTATTACATTGTATGCCTACCTTTAAGTCATCAGAAATAATCACCCCTAAATCCCTTTCCTCAGATGTTGAGGTTAGGACTCTATCAAATATTCTGTACTCTGCCCTTGGGTTTTTACGTCCAAGATGCATTATCTTGCACTTATCCACATTAAATGTCAGCTGCCACAACTCTGACCATTTTTCTAGTTTACCTAAATCCTCTCCATTTGGCTTATCCCTCCTGAAACATCAACCCTGTTACATATCTTAGTATCATCAGCAAAAAGACGTACCTTACCATGAAGACCTTCTGCAATATCACTAATAAAAATATTAAAGAGAATGGGTCCAAGTACAGATCCCTGAGGTAACCCACTGGTGACAAGCCCAAGCTTCGAATATATTCCATTAACTACAACCCTTTGTTGCCTGTCACTCGGCTTACAATATTGGAATCCAAACTTAAAGATTTCCTCTTCACAGGGAAATAACCAATCAGAGGCTTCTCACTGAGAAGCCTTTGACTTTGTCCCCACGCGCATGTGCCCGCTTCTAAATACTGTTGCATCCCCACACACCTCGTCGCGTGTGCACTTCTGAAGCTGAGGAGCTTGTTTGAGGTCTGTGACGGAGGGGAAGGCAGGCAAGCTCAAATAGTGTGCCTTCCACTTCCATTAGCTCAGGGGAGCCAACGGAAGTAGGAAGGAATCCACCCTGGCTGTTTGACAACCATGTGGGTGTTCCCTAGTTAATTTATAAAAGTGCTGATTTCTCAAAGAAATGAGCACTTTTATAAACAGGGGTTAAACTAGGCTGCTCCTCACCCATAAAGCACTAAAGCAAGCTGAAGTGCTTTTGGGGTGTGGAGTGGTCCTTTAACCCCTAAAGGACCAAACGTCTGGAATAAAAGGGAATCATGACATGTCATACATGTCATGTGTCCTTAAGGGGTTAATGAAGGAGACTGCCTCTTCGCTGTAGCTTGGAGCTCCTGCACTGGTTATCAGGATTGATGACTATTTTGTCCAATCTAAAGCTTCTCATAAAGACGTATGGTGGGTAATGTGAATGAGCTGCAATCGCTGTGCTGCACCAATCAAACGCGTATCATAGAGAATCATTTAATCCAATGCTACTAAATGAGAAGCATCAGAGGGCATTTGAACGTTCTCATGCAATGTTCAAGAACGTCGAATGCCAAGAACCGAGTCAGACTCTGGAACTAGAAGCATCACTCAGAGAGACAGCCACTGGAGGTGCATTTAGCAAAGAATGCATTCCTGTATCTATGAATCATTGCCGCAGCAATAATGCAGGGACACTACACCCAGACCAAGTGGTTCTTTAATTTCAACAGCTAGTTTTAAAAGCATTGCTATTGATGTTGCGGGGCGCATGACATTGGAACTTTTCTATCTTCATGCAACATAAAGTGGGAAGATGTGCTTTTAATATGTTGACCCCTATATTAATACATGTGATTTGCAAAGTTTGAACACTATTAATCACCTTCTATTGCATTTTATGTAGGCTACCTTACAGACTTACAAATAATTAAAAAAAAATAAAAAATATCTCACTAGTCACAAGTCTGATACTTCTTGGCCACCTCTGCGAAACATGCTGTAGTCACAGGTTTTTTATTTTTATTTTAGAATACTATGATATTTTAAAGGAAAATGAAACACAAAATATTTACCTACACACACATAATCACTTTGGATCCAAAATTAAAACTTGTTGTATAATGTATTGGTACTCACCGGATCGCTGTTGGGTAATATTACATGGATTTTTTTTAAAAAATTCTGACAAATTAAAAAAATAAATGATCGGTGATTATTTGATGATTGTGAATTGCATTCTGACACTTTCGTTATACCAGTGGATCTTGTCACATACTTTGAACAAGATTTGTAAGATCTAAAAAATAAAATGTAAATGTAGAAATACAGAATACTTGTCTATATCCTGGAACTGAGCGCTGCCTCCATCTTGGTTCCCTGTCAATCATTTATAACAAGCGTTGCCCTCTATACCAGGCAGTCAGCATAGAGAATGGAGGAGAAGAAGAAACAGTGTGCCTTGGCTGTGCCAGGACAGAGCCGGATTGTAAGGTAATTTGCCAAATCTTTTACATTCTTTTAAAAAGAAAATCAAATGAAAAAGTTTAACATAAATTATAGGTGATATTCCGTGTTTATGAATGTCATGTAAATTCACGTGACCGTTAATATTCCTGCTGTGTATTGGATGGAGGCTTTAGTAATTCACGTAGTGGATTAACTGGCTTTGCACATGTAACACACTGGAGTACGCCAAGCCTTGTAATGTAGCTTTTCCATATGGATATGTGTAAAGAATTCATAATCTGTACTTCTATGGGCAGATTGATGTTTTTCCCAGTAATTCCATTTTGTTGCGTGTCATCAATACAATGTCAAAGGCTCTCTAACAGCTTTTGCAAGACAAATATATATTGGTTGCAATTTCGGGGCATTTACTTCCAGTCTATAAATGACAGTGCAATGCTCTCTCAGAAATTGCTTTTTTGTCTGTGTTAATTCAACTTCCCTAAATGTAACGGATGGATAATTAATGTTCTTTAGTGAGTTTCCTTATCTCTGGATAATCAATACAATTTCTCTTTAAAAACTCCATTTTTTTTCCCCCCTTAAGGTTATTAATTCCTGACTGTGCCAGAATGTTCGGTGCTGCAGTAAACTTGCTAGAGATAAGTATATTTGTGTCAATGCAGATGTGTTTTGAAAACACTGAATGAATGCAGTGCCTGTAGTATAATTGTACCTTGATTTCTTGATTTATTTTCCCCATGTTGTTAGTGGCATTAATGCTACAGTACTAGATTGTCCAGAGCGGTAACCAAAAAATGAAATATAATCTGAATTTACAAATTAGTCTTGATAGTTCTATCCGGATCTCAGAATTTATTCAAAATGTATAGCGTTTCCAGATCCACTGTGTTTTCCTGAACAGACGTCCCTAATATGTAAACAAAGGAGGGATCGGCACTCTCATCACTTGTAGACCTCGGTGCACTGTACATAGGGCTGGCAAACTCCCATTCCATATTGTAAAGAAAATGTAGTCTGGGCAGTCTTATTGGAGAAACACAGCAACGTTTCGTTCCACACTCAGATCTTTCTCAAGCTTGACAAAGATCCGAGTGTGGATTGAAATGTTACTGTTGTTGCTGTGATACTCCCCCCAAAAAACAGCTGTTTGAAAAAGACCCTGAGTGCCCCGACTACATTGTCATCCCTTGTATGTATTGATGAGCAGCACAGGAAAGATACTGCCCTGCAGTATTTAGAAAATCAGCTCACTAATCAATGAGGAATCTCGCAGTATATAACCTCTACATATTACAAGACAGCACTTTTTATGTAGTAATTAGTGAAATGAAGACCTCATCTATTTTTAAAATCCTTGAAATGCCAGGGTTAGTGAAATGTATTTATTTCATGTCATGGCATATGAACATTCGTTAATGGGGTTAATCGGGGATGTCCATGTTTCCTGGAGGTACAGAGTTGGACTCCAATGCATTACCAGCTTAGATAAGGCCAGGGGATTTACAATGCATATTCAGTTACTTTACATTACAAATTACTAGGCACTTTAGGATGAGGAGAGCCTTGATCAACGAATAGAATTAAAGTAAGCTATACTTGCTTTTGAACTTCCGCTAATTTTGTTTCCCTGTAACGTGATTTTAATGATCCATTTGAATTGAATTTCTAAATAAAAACCATGTCTAATTGACTGTGACTTTCATCCTCAGTGATCAGCATTCACATTCTCACTTGGATTCTGGAAATTACACCTTTACAGGAGCAGAAATACAGCCTTGGATGGAAGGGACCCTCACTTGGGTCTTGCCATTGTCCTCCCTATACTGCACAGGTTGGCAAGTCTCCTACTGAGTGCACGTCTATTGTTCCTCTTGTGATAGCTGGTGGTTTGGCTGAAGAAGAGAATGGTTCACATATTGTTAAAGGAATGTGACTGGATTCCCTGGAACTGAATCAAAGATTAGAGGTAAAATATCCATATTTAATTGTGTTATGTTTACAATACCTTTTATATATTAAAAGGGAACTGTCATTAATGTTAATTGTTTGTTTTCTTACCCCCTATGTTTCACAAATATGTATTTGTGAATCCTGAAAAATACAATTAAAGGGACACTATGGCACCAGACCACTTATGTCTTTTTAACCCTGCAATGTAAAACATTGACATTCTGCAGGAACATCAAATTCAGGGTTTAAGTGTCTCTTGTGGTTGTCACTCTGGCAGCCATTAGAGGTAAAACCCCAGAAATCGCCTTCTTGTAGACATAATCTGATTGGCACAGCACTAGCCTCCAGTCCCCGATCTCAGCCAAGGAGGTGTGCCAGTCATGTGGAGCAAAACAGCGTGGAATAAAAGGTATGTTAATTCCGTTTTAACCATTTCGGGGTGGAGGAGCGGTTCACCTAACTGGTGACAAGGACGTGAGTTACAAATACACATTTGTATTCTTAAAGCTCTAGTGTTCCTTTAAATATAGAAATTCACACTTCCTTATCTTGCGATGGGCTTCTCCATCTTGGCTCCCTGTCATTGTTATAAGCTCTGTCATTTGCAACTGACAGGCCGCATACAGAGAACAAAAGAAATGAAATAATGTTTCCATTTCTCAAAATGTTTAATATTTGCCCAGACTTTGCCTTGTCTGAACTAGATTACATTATAATTTGCTAAATCTTTAAAATAAACTTTGAAAGAAAACTGAGGACCACGTGAAAAGAATTTAAAACAAATTAGGTGATTTTAATGTTTTATGTAATGGTGTAAAATACATACCCTTTTTTTCTGGCTGCAGTGTCTTATGCAAGTCCCCTCACATTTGGCACAGATCACACTATTATATTTAATGAGTAATGCCTTGTTTTTGGTTGTCGCTGCTCAATAAAGGCCTGTTCAGTTACTTGCCTTGCTCTGTGGCTGTAGCATGTATAGCATCCTTTCACGCAAGTCCCTGTTAGACTATTCCTTGGAGACAAAACGTTTTTATAGAAATTATTCCTGGTAGTTGAAGGAACATGGGCTTGCCATCAAGTAACATGGTAACTAGAATGTTTTAAATATAAATGGTCTAGTACTATTTGGCACCACTTAAATGCAATTCCTGACTTAAGAAAAAAAATATGTAGGAAATTTCAGATTCTAAAGGTGTAACTTTTAAGTGAAAGGGCTTCTGTTTTGCATTGGCTTCTATAAGTGTTGGGATATTTCAGGAATGCAGATCATCTAAAAAATTTGCGTAGAAATCTGTGATGCTCGCTTTCTGTCTGGGATGTGGTAGATTGCTTTCCTTTTACAAACTGTGCTTTCTGCCAATGCATTCATTTGCCTTTCCGTTAATCCTCCCTGCGACTAAATCACATCTGAACAGCTGCCTAAATCAACATGTCCCTTATTCCGCTACTCGCCAAAAGAACATTTATATGCCCAGGGTGGATGGAAACCTATTACCAGAGTAGTCTTAGCACCATTCATAGACATTTTTTCCACGTATAACCATGCAAATTTTACTTCATTTACATATCTAGCTAGCTGAGACTGCATCTACTTTATTGGAGCTTCCTTGAAAATGATTGGCAGGATAGATAAAGAATAAGTCGACAACTGCATAACGGTTACATATGGGCTTTCCTCATTTTGCCCATGTCGTATCGATGGATGCCGGCATTTTATAGAATTCTACACCATTAAGCTGACACTTTACTAAAAAGCATTCGGAAGTGGTGTTTGTGTGCATCAGTTCAAGAATCATCTAACTGTTGCTTTCTGGTTTTGGAATGCAACTTCCATTGCTTTCATATGTTCCGTTCGGAGTGTGTGGGAATAAAAGCTGGATACATTATAGCTGTTGAACTCCTGGTTTTCTGAGCGATGGACATGGTGTGGTCTGTGTAATCATTTTTTTTTTCTTTCTTTCATATAATTTCCCTCTCATATCCTATCACCACCTCTTGTGACACATTCCCATTCTCTGTGCTGTTGCAGTTCGTAAATAACCCCCATTACACATCTCAGGGGTGGGAGACATTAGCTGCTGCAGGATATATTTTATTGATACTGACCCTGGATTTTACATTACAAAAGAGGAAACTGCAATCTCAAATAACAGAGGTCATGTGGACCCATATTTACAATTTCCTTTTTTTTATTTTAAATTTGCTTGATAGTATTGGTGTAAGGAGTGTGCTCCTACCTTATTTTAGATCGATCCCTTCTTGTTTCATTAGCCTCTCATCTTCTGAATCTGACTCCAACCTCGTGTTGTCAAGGGATTTTGCAGACCCCTGCTCTTCTTAATTATTTTTTATGCTATGCCTTTTGAAGATTCAAACAAAAACTGCGTCTTTCTTTAATTTTTATTATTGTTACATAATGTGGTATAGAAATGTGATTTTTCTGGTAATTGTAATATATCACAAAGTCATGCCACTTTGGCTCTAAATAGGGCCAGAGCGCACACATGCTCATTCATATAACAGAATTATTACCTTTGGACAGTGATGGCGAACCTTTTTGAGCCCGAGTGCCCAAACCGCAATACATGCCAACTTTTTTTCCCTCAAAGTGCCAACACGGCAATTAAACCTGAATACTGAGGTTTAAGTTTAGAAAAAACAACTCGTACAGTTGTCCGAGCTAATTAACAACTTTGTTTTAAAAGAAGAACATAACAGAGAGTTCAATGATACAAATGTTAAATAATGATATAAATAGATAAAATTAAGCTTATATTTATTAGTATCTCCAACAAATGCAATACATACACACAGACTGCTGAACACATTCACGCACCAGCCGCTAAATACACATACAGACAGACTGCTGAGTACACACACACACAGTCTGCTGGTGTGGTGTTAGGGGTGGTGTAGTGTGTTGGTTAAGGAACATTAAAAAAATATATATATATATTTATTAATTCTGTATCCCCCCCTTCCTTCCTCTTACCTTTGGTGAAGGAGTGGGACACACACACACACACACAGCTATCCCTGGTGGTCCAGTGGTGGTAAGTAAGTTTGTGTGAAACAGCTCTCCTGTACTCCTGTGCGATGCTGTGTGGAGCATTGCTATGGTAACGCGCGGCAACGCTCCACACAGCATCGCGCGGGAGGACAGGAGAGCTGCTTCCTGGAGCCCTCCCCCTGCCTCCCGACACAGAAGCAGAGTAGGCGCCTGCCGTTTTGGGCAGGCAGGTGCCTACTCTGCAGACAGCCAGCGGCCCCCTCTCCCGGCGACCCATGGCCGCGTGCCCCCAGAGAGGGCCCGGCGTGCCACTGGTTCGCCATCACTGCCTTAGGATGATCATAGAAGACTGTAACATAACTCACAATCTGTATAACATACAATCTAAATACATTGACATTTTACGTAAGTTTCCTACAGTTTGAGTTTTTTTGGAGTTCTTGGTCTTATTAACTGGATTGTATATGCTAGTGCTTTTTTACATGTTTGAATCGATTTAATGAGTGTTTTGGATTTTTTTTTTTTGTGTAAACTTTAGAGCAGTATTGCCAGTGGTTTTATATTGCCAGTTCAAAGATTTGACACTTATTTTTTGCTGAATAAATGTTTAGTTAAGGCAGACTTAGTACAGTTTGTTCTTAAATCTGCACCGTCTGAAATTCTGTTCCATGTATGCGTGTGCAATGGTGGCTGTAGATTTTCAGCCTTATTAAGTCTGCAGATGTAGCGAGACCTATGCCTAATTAACAGACTTCTGCAAAAATTAGTTTGCGCTGGTTCAATCAAAGCAAATTCCTTTAAATTTACACCCGCAGGAATCGTTCCGATGGGGATTTACCTGTGGGGTTTTATTCAATGAGTAAAACTCCACAGGTAAATCCTGGGAGAATTGATTAGTTTGCATGTGGATTAACCCATTCACTACCAAGCTCTTTGCAAAAAAAACACCTCCAGGATCCGAGTAATTTGGGTGTCCTGGGAAGCAATGTTTACATGTATTTTCAGTATACATAGATAGCACATTGTTGAACGGAAACAAAAACAAAAATGTTGGTTGGACAGAACATTTAAAAAAAAATAATAATAATCAACCAAATAATGTAACAACCAAATAAAGTAACAGACAAGGAAACAGTGTTGTAAATAAATATATACATTTTATCATTATAATATTTGTTGTCACATTGCCATAACAATGTACATTTCATATCACCCTCATTGCAGTCATGTTGCTCCTTTGGACACACACATACTAATACATACACGAACACACACACATATATATATATATATATATATATATATACACAGATATTCCAAACACACTCTGAGACACAATGGATAGATATTCACACATACATATACACAGATATTGACTGCTAACACGTACAGTACACAATGTCAGATATATCTATATACACACGCAGACACTAAAATACACTATCAGAGACACTGCCAGTAACACACACAGTCAGACACACACACATACATTCTGACAGACACACACAAATTTACCTTGGTGGTATAGTGGTGATTGTGTGCTGTAAGTCCTGAAATCAGCCATCATGCTGCTTCTCTACTCCATCATGATATGTAGTATAACTTGCCACAGTAATGGAGCAGGGGAGCGTGCGATGCCTACTGCCAGGAGTTACAGCCCATGACATCACTCATGACATAGCCTTCAGCTATCTCCGCAGCCCCTATCGGCCTCATTGGTCTGCCAGCAGCTCCCTGGCTGAGTGCAGAGCAGATATAACAGCCTTCTATCCAATAAACTAATTTAGTTTGAAATTATGCAAAGCATATACTGTACAGTATACACAATTACGTGAATGCATACTTTGGTAATTGTGCACACATGAGTTCCGAGATGGTGGTTAAAAGGAATGTATTTCAGACAAACTGACTCATGATTTTTTTTGCACAAGTCTATAAATTAATAATTGCCCACATTTGGCATATTTTCCTACGTGTTTAAGTGTAGCAACCTCTTTATAGAACCATTATGATGTCTTGTTGGTCCGGCTGATCAATGTGGAACAAGAGCAGCTGCTTATTTTGTGTATATGGTAGTGACCTACGTACAGATTGCTGAGTGTTTATCTGGATAGAACAACAGATTCATTATGTGTATTTGGTAAGGTTGGAAAAGACTTTTATTTCACAAGGATGTATACGGATTTAGCTGCAGTTGTTGTTTTTTGTGGTTATTGACCGAATGGCTGTCTGTAGCAGAAACCTGTTGCTAATTGTGAAACAGCTGTTACTCTCTAACAGTAGCAACAAGGTTGTAATCAAACCCATAAGAATTGCAAGCGTTAGGAGAAGTCTACCACCCTGCTATTAGTACATCTCCGCTAGGTTAGCCTATCTGGCTATTCTGGCTTTAGACTTGTGATTCCTTTGTCAATTTTCCACCATCTCTGGTTTAGTGAGTAAGCCCCCAAAGTGTTCTGCTTTGGCATTCTCTTAATTATTATTATTATTATTACTGGCATTTATATAGCGCCAACAAATTCCGTAGAGCTTTACAAAATAATAAGAGGGGGAGATTTAACTATAAATGAGATATTGCAAAAAATTACAGGAACAATAGGTTGAAGAGGACCCTGCTCAAACGAGCTTTCATTTGTGTGTTTTCATGTATATCTTTGTGTTTGTCCCTATGCATTGTCATGTCTGTGCATCCAAGATCAGAAGGTAATTGTAATAGGAAAAAAAAAAACATATGTTGTATATTGCCTATCAATTGAGAAACCATTTGTGGAAGACAAAGAATTTTTGTTTTTGTTTTTGTATGTCAGTTTGTTTCTCTGCCAGCAGATTTGTGGGTTTTTTATTATAAGTCTCTGAATGCATTTTATAAAAGTATAATGCTAGGCTGGAGTCCTACATCTCATACTAATTACAGGCTAGCAGCTGGTAATTGCCCCAGTGCTAGTCTTTTTGTAACAATTTGGCATGGCATGAGTGTCTCTTATCAACCATGAAATCTGTTGAAGAAAATAACTTTTGCAGCGCATACCGAGGAATGAAAGTCAATCACACTATGACTTTCTAAATAAACCGGAAGCCAAAAATTACATAGAACCCTAAAATTAAAATTAAAATAGACATTGAAATTCACCTATAACTAGTATTCACCTTTTATCATGTGATGATTCATTATCTTTGAAAGTTAATATTAAAGATTTAGCATTGTTTTGCATCATCTCTTGGTCTTCACATGTTTAGTTTCTCATTTGTGCCTAGAATATCAGAGTGTCCAGGGTTCTGGAATGAAATAAGTGAGATATACCCACTTGTGTCCCCATCGACCATCAAAACACTTTAGACAACATGTTTCTCTAATGACGTTTGAGTTAGTATGATAAAGTAGACTAGTGGAGCAGAGGCACAGTTCAAACAATCTGTTCATGGATAAACCAGGTGAAATGTTATTTTCACTTGATATTTTAATTTATTTAATCTCTTCTTATCGAACAAAAAGAAAAAAAAATGGGTTTTCCACTGCTGTTTCTACATACAAATATATTGTCAATTTCATGGAACAAGCACCATTAGTTAGTTCTAAAGGATTATTGTATTTGTCTTTCTGCAATTGGATAGGTTATCACTCTTTCTGCAATGTAATGGTTCATAATTTCTATCACAATAGCTCCAAGGTAATGTAAAATGAATCTAGGACAGTCATACAGTCATTCCGACATGCTTTGTTCTGAATAAAGGATTGCTTTGCTTTTTACTTGTTCAATACAAGGTTTCTTTTGAACCATTCAGTATTCAGGAATATGACTGATGTCTGGGTTGCCTGTTCTTTTTATCCTTACTGTTCAGTTTCTTGTATTAAATGCAGCAGTGTACTTGATGGTGTAAATAGGTATTATGTTCGGACTTACAAAGCAGGCTTTCTATTCAATTGGATGTTGCTTTTGTGCGTGCTCTTTTTTTGCCAGGTGCTAGAGTTTGCCTTGGGTATCTTTGGTGGAAGCTACACTCACTCCAAGCTTAAAGGAACACTATAGAGTCAGGAACACAAACGTGCATTTCTGCCCCTATTTTGTTAAGAAACCATGTTAGCCCCCAAGTCGTCCCTTTTTTCCAGCGCCCATCACAGGTCCCCCCAGTGTTGGCTCTACTTCGCCCTGATCTGCCTCCATAGCTGAGATCATCATAACTGACTATTTCAGTCAATCAGATGCTTTATTATAGGAAAACATTGGATTGGCTGAGATAGTCAAGTCTGATGATCTCAGCCAAAGAGGTGGTGTGGAGGTCGAAGCCAAATGCCACGCTGGCCAATCAGCATCTCTCCATAGGTCTGTATAGGGAAAGTTCAGTGTCTACATGAAAAGTGTGGAGCCGCTGAAGGTGCATTGATCCAGGAAGCACCTCTATAGCCATCTGAGCAACAGCCACTAGAGGTGTCGCTAGGCAGCGTTGTCATTAAAAAAGCCTGCAGGGACTGACTATACTCAACAGAACAACTAAATGAAGCTGTAGCTGTTCTGGTGACTATAGTGTCCCTTCAAATTTTTCCCTTATTAACCCCTTCTGTGCTGTCTTAATGTGTTCTGTAAATATCATTTTCCAAAATGGAATGATACACATTCTATTTCTTAAGGTATACTTCAGCCATGGTGGTGATTTAGCAGTTGATATTTAAAGGGACACTGAATTCCTAAAGCACTTTTTTGCTAAAGTGCTTCATGGGTGTAGAACAAGCATGTCAAACTCGCGGGCCGCAGGTGGCCCACAATAAATATATTTGCAGCCAGACGAGCCGCGAGTTTTACATGTTAAGGCAGATGAGGAATCTGCTTTCCCCACATTGTGAGGTTGTTCCAGCCCGGCATTACTAAACAGCGCGCGTGAGGGAGCTGTGAGGAGCAGAAAGGGAAACCCAACACTAGCTCCCAAAGGTAGAGAGCGACAAATAAAATGATTTGTTAGTGTGTGCAAGAACGTGTAAATGTGTGTCGGTCAGTTAGTGTGTGTCTGTCAGCGCGTGTTTCGGTCAGTGTTAAGATGGCCGCGGCTGGACAGGGGAGGACCTGGAGGTGCACGGAGGCATGCAACGCCATGTCACATTCCTACATGACGTCAACGTGCTCCACCTTCGCAGGGTGTCAAGGAGTAGCGGGAGAACCCGCTTTGGCACAGGGTGCGGATGACGCCACTGGGGGTATACCAGAGGCTGTAGTCCAGAGTCAAATACTGGCAGCAAGAATGTGAGTGGAGTCTGCAGGGGTCACAGTTTAGTAGAGGGTGGTGCTGGGATTTAGTATAGATGGGGGGTGGGGGGGACTGGGATTTAGTATAGATGGGGGATACTGTTTTTTTATACTTTCATTTTTCAAAATAAACCTACGTTTCTATGAAAATTTAAATTTTTGGGGGTGTTTTTTGCGGCCCACATAAACTTAAACCTCGTTTATTTGGCCTGTGCTAGCCTTTGAGTTTGACATGCTTGGTGTAGTGTCCTCTTTTTTTAATTTTACAAAAATTGCCGATTTTTATATAAATTGTTACTTTTATATATTGACCCTCTGTCTGTCAGACAACTGATCCAGTTACCTTTGTGGAGCTAAACTCAAGAGGCAGCAATTGCGTAGAGCAGCTGCCTTGCAAAGACTTCTCTTTGAACTTCACTGGGAAGTCTGTGATTGGACAGCCTCAGAAAGTCTGGGTGGGGTTAGAAGAGGAGGGACTTGCAAAGACTAAAGACGAGATCTGCAACTTTTGCAAGCTGTTTTTAGATATAACCCCAGTTAAAAAATGTAAAAGAAAATCAAAACAGATGCTTGATGCACACATGTTTTCCTTGGAGGTATGTCTACAGTGGGGTATTCCTTTAAGGGTTTAAAACTAATTGTGTCTAATTCAGAAGTCAATAGGCACTATGGGGTGTTTGGGAAAACATAACATTGAAGCCTGTTATACTTATTTCTACCACTGACATGCCCAACCTTTCTGAATTTGAACCACTTCTGTTACAAATATTGTTTAACCCCTTAAGGACACATGACATGTGTGACATGTCATGATTCCCTTTTATTCCAGAAGTTTAGTCCTTAAGGGGGTTAAGGGAACCAAAGAGCAAACAGACTAATGTGGAAGTTTGTTGCAATAGAGAGACCAGGCGTTGGGTTCAGTGGATGACACCCAGACTATTTTCCAGCAGTGGTTATGGTGCTTAACATCCCTTCAAATACTGCGTTCAAGTAATACAGTCACAAAAATACACATACATTTCAGGTTTTAAAAATGACAAACCTTTATTTATCAACTCTTAAAATTGAGAGAAAATGAAGACTTTACTAACAGAACCAAACACAAGGTTTTTGAAAGTCTCATTTAAGCACCAATAAAAAAAGTATGTGATTCTTCAGCAGTCCAAGGGTCATTGTTTGAAAGGTCTTGCGCTCAGTCCATTTGCGCAATCAGTAGATGTTCTCCACATCTACCTTCAGTAAAAAATTTTGACCCTACGTGTTAATGTTTAACTGAGGTTGAAATGGTGTGTGATTTAGATTCTAGTAGAATTAAATCCCATAAACACTCTGGTGATTTGTGAGAACATTTTTTTTTTAAATAAATATGTATGTTTTGATAACAGTATTGATAAATCAAATTAGCAGGGATAGCTCAGTGACCACATTTTCTATCAGATCTCTGTGTAATTATAGTCATATCGATCTAGTGATGTTCTAAAAGAAAAAAAAATCGTAAACACTAATATCAAGACATTGTATGCATGTGCAAGGAATGCTGACTGCTCTTTTTCCATTTTTCATCTTAGTTTCTACATTTTGGCTGATTCCGCAAATTTCTAAATAACGCGTTATATAATCATATAATTAAATTCTATTAAACAGAATACAGCTGTTGCAGACTTTATTACTGCGATACCATGATGCACAATTTTCTCCTTCCTATTTTCATAAAGATCAAAAATTTTCATACAGTAATATCTGTCTAGTTTGCTGTTTGGACAGTGAGCATGGCACATAGCCCTGTATTGGCCAATTTTTGCCATGACCTATCATTTCATTGGCCTCTGCCTTATTATTGGCAAATCATACAGCTCAATGCAGTAACATGCCACTATTACAATTCGCATCAGACATTTCTGAACCATTGCGGTATAAGTTTCATGTAAAATTATACCTTCTGCAAGAGACACAGATTCCAATCGCTTTATCCCAGAAACGTTATCAATAACGATGTGAAATTTCTCAATGAAATGTTTATTCTGTCTTAATAATTATAATAGCAAAGTATTTAACCAGGAAAGGTACATTCAGATTACTCTGGTTTTCAAGTACGTCCTGGGGACAATATCTTATGAAACCTATAGTCAAAATGTTCTCTTGATGATCATGATGCTCTACCAATTATATATCAATAACACTTTGATAAGCAACCTTCAGCACTCCAGATATTGTGGACAGCATCTCCCCTTAAGCTCTTACAGACATAATCCTGGCAAAGCGTCATGGAAGATGTAGTCCACAGCATCTGGAGTTCTGAAGGTTGTGTATGCCCGCAAAAGGATATTCCACCTGCAAGGGAGGTTGCACGCTGTGTAGTCTGCTACAAATGAGTTGTACCTGGGTTTCATCCGTTTTCAAGCAAAAGTAATTAAAAATGATAGCTTTGCAACTCTAGATTAGCTACCAAAGAAAGTTGTATTCTACTGATTGGTGGATGAGGATCTCTGATATAGTCCATCATATTCATAAAACAGAATAAGCCTACAACAATCTTTAATCACAAGGTACGATATAGTGTTTAAGGGTTTATCTTCTAATTTCTGAGTTTCCAGGATCTGCTAAAGTTTAGCTGATTTCCCCAATGATTCAGAATGAACGTTGGTTCACTGATGTATAACAAAGTAGATGTATTGTTGCCACTGCTATACAGTGCATATTGCATAGTTAAACATGCAGTAAATATTCAGCAGACCCACAAAATAAAAAAATAAAAAATTTCATCAAAAACTCCCTTGTAAT